GATAGCGATGCAGAGAAAGGCAAGATGGCTAAGCGGAAAGGCAAGTCCAAGAAGTCTAATGAGCATCGACGAACAAAGGGTGTGGTTGTGGAGGTGCCGGATGTTCTCTTATCTATCCAGGGTTGGAGTCCTCACGCGTTTTCCCATTTTCCTGTATTTGAAACAGCCACTAATTAATATCTTCAAACTACAGTTCAGTTGCAAGACCTCACCTCATACACTGGTGACGTGTTCGAAATCCCTCTTGTCATCAATACAGATGGTGTCATCTTACGTCGTCTCAAGATTCAGAGAAATCATTAAGGACCTCCCTCCCCATGTTACTCACAAGCAAATAGCCAAGATTGATTCGTGCAGAAACCTCCGACCTCAGATGCAAGTGCAGAGCATTCGGGCTCTGAGGCTGTGCGTCCGAACTTGGTAAATTTATGATTCAACTGAAGATCTTTATACTTATTACCAGCAGGTTTTTTGTACCGTGGTATGGTTCCACGCGCCAAACTCAGGGGCTCCATGCTCTCCACCTTGGGGCTCTGCGCTCAAAACCAATGGGCTACGCGCTCAAACCAAGGGGCTTTGCGCTCTGCCGCTGGGGCTTTGCGCTCCACTTCTGGGGCTCCGCGCTCCAACCAATTTGTCCCTAGGCACACGGACTATGATGATTTCGCTGACAACAGTGACCTCCCAGGCGACTATGACGATCTCCCACCATCTTCTCCTTTTTTGCCTGCTACGCCTCGAGGTTCAAATGCAGCCCATGGTCGATCCCAGTACACACCCGTCTGCGTGAAGACATCCGCCATTCTATTGCCTCTACGTCTGACAATTGGAAATGATCTCGTGGTGATTACGAAACTATCAGTGAGGCCGACGACATCGAGACTGCCATGGTGGATGATAGGCAATGGGCCAGGATGTGTGTACATCGTCTACATCTTTATTTTATTTTATTTTCTCAGCATACCTTTCGAATCGCAGGACAGGACAAGCATGGATCAAAGGTCTACTCTTGGTCATCAGTACGTTACTATTCAATTGTCATTATATATTACGGTGCTAATTGTATCAATTATTGTTCTTTCCTTAGCCATCCTAAGCCACATGTTCGCGCTACATCAAAGGCATGCATGGGACCTCCAAACCAAAACACTACGCACTTGCCATCTCGTTCGGCAGTTGTGCCCTACTCTGAGGGCTCTCCGTCTTCGCGCCAATATGCCTCACGTGTTCGGCCTGCTCATGTCTTGGATCGCCGTTTACTTGCTCCTGTAGATGAGCATGAATTTGAGTATAACTGACGTTTACAGCTTTTATAACTGCCTCTCTAATCTCGACTCTGATTTCGACTATGATACTTTGCTTGTCGTGACTTATGTGACTCATGTTAAAATTCTTATGCCTATGCAAACATGCTTTTCTAATCTATGACTCATGGTTTGTGTTTTGTCGTCTATGTTACATCACAATTGTCGAGACTTACCTGATGTTGAAGAAGAATACTGTGTGTGAAATCACACACACAGTTATATTCTTCAACATTATGTCTGCACTCATGCAACATTATAACCTTCAATATCAATCTGTCTATGTCTTGTGACTGCGCTGACTCGTACTTCTCTAGTTTCAGCTACATACTCTTGAATCACGTGACCAATGAAGTACATTCGAGCTACATGTAGCTACATGACACATGTATTCATTGACCGAGTGAAAATACGCAACACTCAATTGAACGCCGAGAGCCTGGCATCCTCAAATTAATTACTACCTACAATGGTTTGTGCTCACAACTACGGTCTCTTATTCAACAGCGGCGAGCACCCCCTTCTGCTGTTCCCCCTCATATCATCCCGCGTGATGGCATCTTTCAGCTCGACATTGATGACGACATCTGGCAAGATGTTGGGCTAGATGATGACCCTCTGAACCCTCCAGCATGGCTATCGGATGACAAGGTCAGGAATGGTATCCGGTTGCAACTTGAAGCTGACCGGTGCAATGAGGAGGAGGCTTGACTGATGTGGGAGAGGGCCGTCCTTCAAGAATGGATGTTAGCGGAGTGGGACAGTACGCAAACTGCCTTGAATAAAGCAGGTGCGTCAGTGTGCAAATGTTATGAACAGTATCTAATTATTTCACAGTCGCAGATCCAGTGATGTCTTTCCACCTTGGGTCTCGCGCAGATGAACTTGTCAACATCTGCGTCATCTGGAGGAAAAAGGTTCAGTGTATTCTGTGCGTGTGGCCTATGATTGCGAGTTGGGGACCCTCAGACGAGGCTTTGGTTCAAGCCGCTTTTAGTCAGGCACGATCATCGTTTTGGGATGAGGATGATGATGATGAGAGTTTGGAAGGAGATAGAGAGGGTGATGGAGAGAGTGACCTGGAGTATGGCGAAATTGAAGATGAGGAACTGATGGATGCTATTGAGGAGATTGCATTGGCAGATGAATATAGGTATGACCAGAATAAGGAGCTCGTGGATGACCTGGATGACTTGGATGACATTGATAATGACTTCATGCCTTCTTCCCCTATAAAATCGTTACACAAGCGGCGCAACATGTAGAATGCAGTGTTTCAATACAATATTTTCTGTAATATCCTATTTATTTAATAAGATATTTTCTGTCACATCCCATTTGTTAAATTTGTTAAGATATTCATTAACACATGTGTGCATATGACAGACAGAAAGAATTCACATACCATTTTGTGCAATTCATCAATTTTTTCTTGGCAAGGGTACTGGACCAACATCATAGATTCGTACCATACAGCATTCCAATCATCATCAATTTTTTCTTGGTGGGAGGACTGGACTGTCATCATAGATTCTAACCGTACAGCATTCCGATCATTCTTGGTGGGGGTACTGGACTGTCATCATAGATTCATACTGTACACCATTCCAATCTTCATTGATTTTTCTTGGCAGGGGTACTGACTGACATAGGGAGGGGGGGCTCTGTAATAAGGGGCATTCTGCGCAATTTATCAATTTTTTCTTGGTGGGGGTACTGGACAAACATCATAGATTCGTACCGTACAGCATTCCAATCATGCTTGGAGGGGGTACTGGACCGTCATCATAGATTCGTACTGTACAGCATTCCAATCTTGATCAATTTTTCTTGGCGGGGGTACTGACTGACATAGGGAGGGGGGGTCTGTAATAAGAGGCATTTTGCGCAATTCATCAATTTTCCTTGGTGGAGGTACTGGACCGTCATCATAGATTAATACCATACCGCATTCCGATCATCATCTATTTGTTCTTGGCGAGGATACTGGACTGACATAGGGAGGGGGGGTCATCTGGAAAAGCGAAAAGGTGTATAATAAAGGTGTGGGTTATCTTGTCCCTGTAACTTGTATGTTGGGTATTGGACCGACATCATAGATTCGTACCGTACAGCATTCTGATCATGTTGTTGTGGGTCTGCCCTATATTACATATGGTTCACCCTAGTTAGTCTATCATGTTGTTGTGGTCCACCCTACATGACATATGGTCCGCCCGACATAGGCTATATTGTCTTTGCGGTCTGCCCTATAGGACATATGGTCCTCCCTAATTAGTCTATAGTGTTGTTGCGGTCCGCCCTACGCAGGCTGAATTGTCTTTGCGGTCTGCCCTATGGGACATATGGTCCTCCCTAATTAGTCTGTAGCATTGTTGCGGTCTGCCCTATGTAGGCTATATTGTCTTTGCAGTCTTCTACCATGGGATCATGACCGAAGATACTACTGGTAAACCTGGCATCCAGGCAAAGGTAAGTAGGATGGGCAAAATCGCCTAGGCAAAGGTATGGTAGAAGTCACAAGTACCATGGTTCAGCACTTTTGGTAGGGGTCTGACAAAGGTAAGTTATTCACGGGATTTAGAGTGATCATGTAGCCAACAGTCAAAAGTGAGTATCAACAAAGGTACTGATTGCGCAAAATTTTGAAAAACTAGGCGACCACTACCAAGGTCCAAGGTAGGAAGCATCCTAGCTATCAACTCTGTAGCTTTTTTTTATTGTACTACGTAAAACTCCGGAATGTACAGGTGAGGTCAGTAGCAAGTGTAGGTGCATGGGGATATGCATCTGTAAAAATTCAACCAGCATCCCTGCAGCGAAAGTATGTAACAACTATACCACATTATTACGTGCAAATCGACAGGACATGTGCAGACATAGGGTGTAAACCGGTCAAAGAGGCTCGGCTGAGTGACAGATAAGGAAGGTAGGTCCAGGTATGCCAGTAACACATAGACGAATATGGTAATACAATCATAGTGTGAAGTAGTAGAACTAAACAGATACAACCACAAATACTACCAGACTTCGGAATGTACAGGTGTCTTCCTAGCAAGACACTAAATTGGGCAATGTACAATTGCATCCACAAATTCAGCCATTATATGATTCTATACGGTAGATATAACACAAACATTCATTGTAGTCTAATGCTATTCACCATCAGAATCAACAGAAAATTACTGCAAAAAATCGAACATTTAGGTGGTTTGTGACCCCAGACACTCCTATATATCCAGGGAAATCCATTAGATATGTGGTCCAAAATACCCTGTGGTATGTGCCATGACATGGTCCCAACGGTCTATGGTCCATGTGCAGCACGTTCTCTTTTGGTCCACAAAAACAATAGGGAAGGACCATGGAACACTGGAGAGACCAGCAGAAACATACCTCTTAGGTGCAAACCTCTATATACAACAATCAACCTAAGAGGTATCTAAAATAGGGTGACCAAAGTGTTCAACCTGGGCACCAACAAATTGATGAAAAAGGTCGACACAGCATGTTGCAGTTTTCTTGCTACTGGTAAGAATAGTTGTTACTTACACATCTCTGATTCTGATCTCCTGCTTAGCTTTTACAGAGACTTGGCACTAGCCTATATGAATCTGAGTGATTTCTTTTTGTAAATGACTACTGTAAAATAGGATTGATTACTCTGCTGTGATACATATTCGTGTATAGATTATCGTTGAGTGAGTGATGATTCAACTGTGAGAGGGGCGATGAGTGGGTGATCATTGGGTGATCAATTTTATCTGGAGACAAAACTTGATGATTTGTCTTCACATTTTATCATCAGGGGGTATTTGAAATATTAACGCCTGTCAAAGTGGTGGTCTAAACTTCATACATGAGCAGACATTCAATCACATGCAATGGTTGAAGTTTTTTCGAGTATTAAATGTGAAGTTTCATTTTGAAGTTTAGGCAGCATTAAAAATACATTTATATTTCTTATTGTCGTTGATGTTCGGCTGGCAACAAAATGTTTGCTAATGCTTTATATTTCTCATGTCGTGCAAGATCTCTTTAATATTTGAAATTTTGCATCTCCTTTGACGACTACCTAAATACTAAGTGTTATCTTCACATTTTGCATGGCATTCAAACCTGTCTTAAATATTGCAAACTGATGACGGCACAAGGTAGAATGCAATCTCGCATAATGTTAACCAGATACAATCATAGTTGTGATTGGGAGAAATTCTGAGGGCTAAGTACAAAAACACGACCTTATATACTGTCGAAGTGTACCAAGCCTGAAAATAAGGGGAAAACATATTACACTGAAAACTTAACATATGGGCCCAGGAACAACGAGTTACCGGGCCTAGAACAGTCTATCTTCGATATTCTGAGACCTTCCTTTTGTGTGGGTGCCGGCGCCACATACTCCCCTCCAGGATGTGCAACATCCTTCATTTCTTCCTCCTGGTGGGTTCCTTCCCAGAAATGTCTCCGGCGCTCTTACCTGGCTGGGACACAAGTTCCTCTTCTTTATCAACTTCCATATGCGCCTGGTTACAAGGGGCAGTAGAGGTAAGAGGGGACAAATTGCAAGGGGTATGAGGAGTGGTATGAGTGCTGCTTGGCCCTTCACCTCAATCCTTTGGCAGATTGGTAGGGGGGATGCTAGCAGTGTGGCGGGCGCATTTGGCTGCCTTCCGCTCCGAGATACTTCGGTTGCGCCATTCCCTTTGCCATTTGGTGGTCTCAATATTCATACACAGGGCCTCTTCCAATAGCTCAGCCCAGCAAGGATTAATCCCACGCCCGCCTTCCGGGGGCGGTGGATTGGTGGTGTTGGGTTGCAAGGCTGGGGGGATATCCTCACCAACGAGGTCTGTGAGGGATGGGGAAGGGCCTCCGATGTGTGGCCCTTTGGATGATTCTTCCGTGATGCAGGACACGAGTCCATTGGTGGTCTGCATCATGTTGAAGGAGAGGACAAAGTCTCCATACCCTACGGGGTTGGCACGATTTGCAGCCATCCCAGACCGTAAGGATGCATTGTGTTCGAGGTAGGCGCAGAGCATGTCGAGGACAACCAGCATGTCCCCGTTGCCTAGGCAGTGGGGCAGGGTAAAACGACACATGCCAGTGCATGTGAGGATGGGGGGCATGGTGGTGATGTGACAGGCGAATAGCAGTAGGGAGTCATTGGAGGTGAAGGAAAAGGAGGAGTTAGGAGAGGAGGGAGTGAGGCCCAGGGCTTTATAAGCCGAGTCTTTGGGGGATAGGTGCCCTACTGACACCTGGGAACCTCCTGTTGGGGGGCTCCTGGTCCCTTCCTCTAGTTCCAAGATGTTCTCGATACCTAGTACTGTAAAGTATTCTTTTAGTGCGTCTAGCTCTTCTACTCACTTATAGGGCAACCAGGTGATGTTACCTGCTTTTCCACTTGGTTTCAAACAGGGAGTCGGTGTAGAGACTCGCGTTTCTGTGGGCTCATATGGGCTCATTTTACGAATTCTGATGACTGGCCTTTACTGCACAACTCGCACTATCATCCACTATGACTTCCCTATAGAGCGCACCACTTTCCCGCAAAACGCGCCATAGGCACGACACTTTCCCACACAACGTGCAGCATTCCCACATGCGCGCCTTGCGTGCTTTCTCGCGCTTAAGCGCCCTGCATCGCGCATCATCCAGGAGCATCCATCCATCGTCCGACCAGTCCCTCGGTATGTCCCTTTTCGTGATCTGACCATATTTGGCATATTACACTTCCCATTTCATTATGCACCCTTACTATCCATCACCTTACCTCACATTACATACTTAGAGCGCTCCCTATTCGGCTCCGAGCCCTGGGAGAGCGCTTAGGTAGAACTTACATACTCTCATGTTCGTTTTACACCGAACATTACACCTTAGCTTCCTACCACCAGCTTCCTACCACTCAGTATCTATCACCAGTTAGTTCCATGCAATGCATGTGTCCATCATCATCTTGAGGCCCTAGCATCAGTCTATAGCTAGTGGCACTATCAGTATCTGTCTAGATCTGCGCTTTACCTCTTATCAGTCTCAGTATCCGTCTCCTACACTTGTGCACCGCTTGCACTACCTTCCCGCACTTCGCGCACTTTCACACTTCGCTTTCCAGTGCGCGTTTTCTCGCGCTTTCACCGCCATTCACCAGGGTTGTTCAGCATCATTCCGTGGATCCTTGCTTTCTTTGCTTCCCCTTTAGGGTCGAACGTTCTTGCATTCTGCAAGTATAGCAGCTAGGCAGAGCTAAGACTCACTTATACTGGCTGAGCACTTTTCTTATATGTGCCTGCCAGGTTGTGATACCCACATTGGTTCGCTTCCCAGTGTGAGTTAGGATCCTGTCGATAGCCATTCTGACTCGGGTTCTTCAAAGTTGGCTACGTCAGGAAACCTGCCATTTCCATGATAAGCTGAGAGATCTGAAGGAAATGATAAGCTACTGGACTATGTATATGATATACTGTACATCTGAGGTCAGACCCAACAGATTGTTCAGGCAAGACAGACACTTTACCTGGCAGGATATTAATACCTGCAGAGTGATCATATCATCAGTGAATCCAAAATACATTATTTCAGACAGCACAGTATATCTATCCATCAGACAGTCAGTAGTTGCAGGTCAACCAGAGCAATCAGACACAAATGAGGTCATGTTTCCTGATCCTCCAGTACCATGGACCATCTGTCCCCCAAACCAGCAATTGTTTCAGGAATATCAGACAAAACAGCTGCAAGAAACCTCAGGCTCTCATATCAACAAAGAGATAGGCAGTCTGGATCTCAGAGCATCAATACAAACAGGAATTATCAAATACACAGAAAGGCTGAACATTCATGTCATTCCTGATCAAGAGTCTATCCATGGTCTCATGACATCAATAGGATAAGATCTTAGCAAGTTATAAGCAAAACACTTGAAAGTGAGTAATTTGATTGTAAGAATTTCAATTATAATAAGCAAAAATGTGGTCAAACCCTAACCCTAAGTAAGCAAAAATGCGAAATTTCACCAAGTCTTTTGTTTGATACAAGTTTGGCACTGCTTATATAAGCAAAAATGCATTCAACAAACAAGTCTTTTCCTTTCCTTTCCTTCCTTCTGACTATCATGCCCTTGTGATAATTCTCTCTTCTCCTTTGTTCTGGTCTTTTTTTCTTTCTCTTCCTGGGGGATGGACTAGTAATGGGCTGGTAATGGGCTGGTGGAGGGCTGATTAGTGGGTTGATTCATTATAGGGGTTGTGACAAAACTACTGTATAATTTTGATACTAGTTTCAAGCCCATCTGCCCATGATCATGTCATGCTTAGCTTCATAGCTTCAAACTTCAGTGTGACCTGTGACCATGCCTAAATAGGTTCATCCAAGTCAGCTCATTTACATTGGCATAAAGTTGCTGATGTTCAGTTCAAGTCTGGTTCAGGCAAATTTTCATCAAACCTGAATACAGACTGGATGTGTTTCGAGTGATAGTCTTGAACCCAAACCTGGACTGTATTTAGTAGTGGTCCAGTCCAACATGGGTCTGGTCCATGTTCAAACTGAGTCCAAACCATTTTCAAGTTGCATAAGGAATTTTCTTTCCTATATGTGAATTGACAATATACAACTACTGTGCTACACTGTCATATCCTGTATTCCGGACCTATGTCCGATGATGTTCCCACGCCTTCCGGATGCACATCCGGACCTCCATACCCTTATCCATGACTCCATACCCTTATCCATGCCTTCAGTCCTCCATTCCACTATCGGTTTGGATCCGTACACCTTCGTACATCCATATATCAATACCTTCGGACCTCCGCAGCTAAGCCTGCTCCATCCACCCTTAGTCCTATCAGATCCAAGCTCATTCCATCTCGGACTCTACCTTCCCTAGACTACCAGTCTATATCCATGATCCATATCCTAGTCTCGTATTCATCTAGATCTCCGGATCCGCTCATCCGATATCCAGACGCCTCATCCGATATCTCTAGACCTCCGGATCCGACCTATACTCATATCCGAAGCCCAAACCTTAAATCAGCATCTATCTCCTTATGGTAATCCCCTTGACTCCAGACTTCGGTTATCTCTGTTTCCGTCTTGCTTATTGATCTTTGTACTCTGTTCATATCCGAGTTCATTTACTTATGTTCCGTTCATACTTACTAATATGTTTCCACATGCTCGTACATAGCATTTGTGTTCATTTTACCGATCCTCTCGGATCCCGTCCAGTATATAAACCTCTGTACAACTCCTGTAAAGTTTCCTTAGTTCGAATATTGCCTTAGACTTTGCTCTGTCTCAACATAGACTTGCTCCCTTGCATCTTAGACTTCACTCATTTTTGTCTTGGACTTTGGTCCATCTGAGTTCTGCCTTTCCATCAAGGCCTAGGGATGGATTCCCTAGGCCGGAAATCTGGACCTTCGGATTTGTCCCCTATGTCTCTGTTCTGAAGTCTAGGGATTGATTCCCTAGACCGAAGTTTTGCCTTTCCGGCACTTCCTGTCTTTCTGAGACTTCTGTCTAAACCCCGTCTATCCGACTCTACCATAGTGTAGTCTACCTCTGTTTGTTTCTACTCCGGACCTTGTCCATAGTAGCCTTTCCCCTCCTGTCCTAATCCTGTCCGCTCCTCCGGTCCTCGTAAACCTTCGGACCTTCGGACGTCATAACCTTTGGACATCGTAACCTTCGGATGTTGTAACCTTCGGACGTCTTAACCTTCGGACCTCTGGACGTCCTGTCCTTCGGACCACTCCTCTTATCCTATCCTGCTTTGGACTCTGTCCCTTGCAGCCCATCCTCTATGTGTTTCTATCTAGGGAACTTACCTTTGGAAGTCTTACCTTCGGATCTGATACAGCGGATGAAACTCCTCCGGAGTTTCCTATACTCCTCCGGAAGTTTCTCGCACTCATACGGAAGTCCTCTAGCACTCTACTAGAGTAGCCAGCCTCCAGAAGTCCTTCGGACTTCGTCGGATTCCATCTGGACTTCATTCTGAAATTAAGGGCACGTACTTGGGTAAGGGGCACAGCGCACGAGCTGAGGCCAAGCCCTTCAGATCTGTTAACCCTTGAGCTACGGTCTTAACATACACAATGTTACTGCTCTGACAAAGTTTCTTGTTTCAATACCTGCTCTGATGAGTCCTCATCCCACTATCTCTTCTGTGCTGCATGTTAATGAAGGTTGAACTAAAGAGAGTCTCAGTATCCAGGAAGAACAGCTATGACATTAATAGTACCTAAGGGGAGAGTCTAGAGATGATGTAATGTAAGATAGAGTCGGTGTGCAAGAGAGAAATGAAACATACCTCAGTATCTAGGAAGAACAGCTGAGGTATGAACATATGAGACAAGAGACTTATAAGGTAAATTAGGTAGAGTCCATGATAACAGAGACAAACAAATAAACACAAGTGACAATGTTGCACCCCCAACACATCCTTTAAACTTACCCCCTCAACCAGATGACACAAGAGCCAGACCAGTACGGTGTATGATGAATATTGGATGAGGGAGTGTTTTTGTAAAGATGTTAGCAGTGTTTTTATGAGTTGAAACTCATATAGGTAAGAATGTCCCTTTCTCAATGTGCCGCTGGATGAAATGATACCACAAATCAATGTGTTTAGTGTAAATATGATTGGCCACCTCCTTGATAGTACAATGGCTCCTGCATTGTTTGCAAATAGCTGAAGCGGAAGAGTAAGAGGAATCTTGACACATCTGAAGAAGGATTGTAGCCAGAGGCCATCCTGTATGGCAGCTGTTACAGCCATATACTTGGCTTCAGTTGATGACAGTGTATGTGTCAACTGCTTCTTTGTGGAGTGGGACACAGGCCAACCATTGAAGAACCATACATATCTGGACACTGAAACATGATCCTCAGGACATGAGGCCCAGTTGGAGTCGCTGAAAGCATGAAGGACAGGGTTGACACCAGCACCTCCATAGTGAGTTCACATATTTATAGTTCCAGCAAGATATCTAAGGACATGTTTTGCAGCAGTATAGTGTCAAGACTTGGGGGATGCATTGTTCTGTGTGAGGTGCATGATAGTATGGGCAATATCTGGTTGAGTATACATCGCGAGGTACAGAAGCTCACCAACCAGCTTTCTGTACTTGGCCTCAAGATCGTCTATGTGAGGATGAAGGTCAGTGGGATGACCAAAGGGAAAGCTGGGGTCCATGGGAAGAGAAACAGGATTGCATTTAGCCATGTCATGCTTTGCAGAAGGTAAACAATGTATTCTTCTTAGTGTATCCATAGCTTGTGTGTCTGACAGTCTTGGATGAATTAAATGCTAAGATATTTAGTGATGGGGCCCAGATCCGTTATACCAAAGCATTGAGTGATTTTTCCCTTCATCTTGTCAAGGAATTTGCAGTTGTTCACCCCTGCCAGTCCATCATTGGTGTGCCATGCAATGATGCATATGATTCTCATCCCCTCACCATTGACATGGTCAAAGATGAACACTGTGTAATCTGCCTTACAATGATTGAATCCAAGACTGCTGAGTACTACCCAAAGTAATTCATACCAGCCATATGCAGCCTGTTTCAGTCTGTAGAGTGATGAGAGCAGATGCATGATAAGATATTGACCTTCAGGACCCGAGTGTTCAAAACCAGGGGGTTGGTGCATGTACATGTCCTCCTGCAGCTTACCCCAGAGAAATTCACACCAGGCATCAAAACAGTCAAGTTTGCAGTCGTTCACTGCAGCATAGGTGGATAGCATACATATTGAGGAGGACTTAGCCATGGGTGCAAATGTCTTGCCGAAATCAATCCCTGGGACCTGTGAGAACCCCTGTATGACGAGCCTTGCCTTGAACACTAGGCCACCTTTCAAATCCTCCTTGAATTCAAGGACCTACCAACACCTGATTGCACGACACTCTGCAGGTAAGACAATGAGCTTGTAAACATTCATTTCTAACATAAGATTGATTTCCTTGTGCATGGCTACAAGCCAATTGTCAGTGTCAGAATGGCAGCACGGCTTCATCATATGTGGCAGGGGGGACTTTTAGATTGTAACCAGGTACCAGTGGGTTGCAGTAGGTATCACTGCAAACAGACAGGCACACGACTTTGATGGCAATGAGGTTAGCTATCACCTGAGGGAAGCCAATCTCTTCCTCATAGGGGACAATGACATCAGAGTCATTTGTTGGCACAGGAGTAGCATTGTGCCTTGCAGGCTTGTATGGAGCAGTCAGAATGTATACTGTGGGAACCACATAAGAGGCAGAGGAGGGGGAGGAACTCTCTGCATTTTGCAGCTTTGACGTCATGCTGGCATGCAAAGCAGGACTGATCAGCAACAAGACGACTCTTATAGGCCTGACCTTTGGCAGTGGGCATTGGGATACAAGAGGAACAACATGTGACAGGCTGGTTGTGAGAGGATGTTACAGGGGCAGGGGGAGGAGGAAGCTGTTGATGGAGAGTGAGTAGAAGCAACTGAATCATCATTGTTGTTATCATCACTGTCTGGAAAAGGACAATTGGAAAAATCCTCATCAAAAATGACATCCCTGGAGTTAAAAAAATGCACCCATTGCAATGTCTCTCAATTGCCACACCTTAATGCCTGGAGGATACCCCATGAAAATTGCTTCCCTTGACTGTAGACCCAGCTTCTCCTGGAGTTCAGATGGGATCTATGTGAAGCAACGCACACCAAAGACATGTAGATGAGGAAGTGTGGGCTGCAAGCCCATAAGCATCTCGTAGGGTGTGCATCCAGGAGGGAGTGTGTGGGACTCTGTCCTGTTGAAGAGGTAGGCAGTCCATCAGAGCTGCTTCCCTCCACAGAGTACAAGGCAGGTGTGCATGATCCAACATAGCTTACATATGTCCCTCGATGGTTTACATTACCCTTTCCGCCTTGCTATTCTGCTGATGTGCATAAGGCACAGAACACTTACATTTAATCCCAACTGACTCCAAAGTGGTTGTGAAGGCATTGTTGATGAACTCACCCCTATTGCCTAAGTGAAAGATCTTGACCTTCAACCCTGACTTATTCTCCCATTTAGCTTGCACAGTGGTCCAGGCATGCAGTGCTTGATCTTTTGTGGCTGTCATATACCATACTTCTAGTACAGGTCGGGACATCCGGATCTCAGATCCAATCCAGATCCATTGTTCTAATCTGTTGTTTGGTCCACTATTCAATTCCTGTTCATATAACCTTAATACAGCATCTATCTCCTTTCAGTAATTCTTTGACTATTGGTACTCTGGTTATCTGTACTTCTGTTTGTCTTACTGATCTATTACATACCTTTCATCTCCAGTTTCATGATTGGTGATCAATCCTACTTACTAATAGACTTTGCATATGCTTCATACATAGCCTTGGACATTGCTGATTAATCATTCCATTAGATACCTATAGTATATAAACTCTTGTACAACTCTGTAACACATCAGTTTGAATATCATCTTAGATTATACTCATTCTCATCTCAGACTTCAAGTCCTCCTCTGTCCATCTTCCATCTTCCATCTGAACTTGAGTTACTTCGACTCTTGTCTACTCCGAGACTTAGGATTAACTCCTATGGTCTATATCTCCACCTTTGTCTTAGGACAGTCTACCTCCAATAGTTTCTAGTTTCAACTCCATCTGGATTAGCCATTACATTACTTGTTTGATATCCAGAAGTCATCTGGAATGGACTATAATACTCATCCCTCTGGATGCGATATCATTAGCCTTCTGAAATAAGGGGTAATACTCAGGAAAGGGGCACAGTACACAAGCTGAGGCTGAAACCCTTCAGATCTGTTACCCTTTGAGTACAGTATAGGACCAGTCCTTTACCCACCTCAGGCAAAATTCATTATTTCTTCATTTTTTCACATCAACATATAGGAATATATTAAAGATGAGGCCTCAATGGACATTTATATAGTATATGATGAAGAATCAATGTTCACAATGTTGTGCATGACACAAATTAGTTGATTTTTCCTTCCTGAGTGAATTTTGTTGGGAGCATAGTACATCAATGATTTTTTTTTACAAAAAGTGGCTGGTAGAATACAAAGTATATCTGTACACTTGTTTATTTGCATGCACAACAGCTTTTGGTAGTGTTGGCCAACCACAACACACAACATTTCAGACTAGCCATAGATAATATAGTGAAAGCAGGAGCTGGTGCAGGCTGTGATACAGCATATTTATTGAACTGTTGTATTGTCAATAATGTTTATCAGATGAATTAAGCTATCCAACTCATGACTTTTTCCATTGTTGTTTTTGCATTGTTTCAGCCACTCTCGGTCCAAAACAGTTTGAAGTACTTGTCTTGAAACATATAGGTTCAAGTCTGTTGAGTTACAAATCAGCACCTGGCATTAAAAACTATGAATTACATACATATCAACACAATGTGAACTGGTCTTTTTCAAGCTGTAAATTGCAGCATTGAGTGCTGGCCTAAAGGTCACCATCTCCAGATCTTCAGCATACTCCTGCCACTTCACAATGAACTCTTCATAAAGGGGTGGTGTGAAAAACACAACCTGACTAGGCACTTGTAAAGGTACTCAGCCAGTATATGTCTAATGCTCTGCCTATGCTGCTATACTTGCAACAAAGATGCAAGAACATTTGATCCGAGGGAAAAGCTACTAAGGACTACTCAAGATCAAAAGACCCGAAAGAGCGCTAAAGCGTGGGAATAGCGTGTTGCAAGATAGAGCGCTAATGCATGGGAAAGAGCAGAAGTCAAGAAAGCAGACACTGAGTCAAAGGAGGGTAATGGATAGCGAGTGAAATCAAAGGTATTGATCGCAAGGGTAAGGAAAGTCAAATAGGGGCCATAGAGTGCCACTAAAGGGTGACTACTTCTAAGTAAAACCTAAGGGAAGGAAATACAGTCAAAGGGAAGTAATGTCAAAGTAATCACCATAGGCTTCTTATACTAGTAAACTATACCATCTCAGACTCGGAAGGGATAGGATATACATGTAATAAGACTGTAGCACTTGTTACAAACTTGAGGTAAGGCAAATTACACACCAATAATGTAGGATGGACAATGGATGGATTCCAACGTTTTGGGTGGATCCTAGAGTGCGAGAACAGCGTGCTGGATAAGCGCTAGGCGCGGGAATGAGCGCTAGATAGAGCGGACAAGCAGTAATACTCCTATAGACTCATTGCTGGTAGTTCTGATAGTGCTATAAGTGCAGGAATAGCGTCGGATAAGTCGTGGGAGTATGAATAGCACTGCGGGAATGTGTGCGCATAGTGTGGGAAAGTGCAGAATAGCGTCAGACAAGGGTTATGGCTAAGACAAGGGAAGACTGCTGATAGGGGAGTAGTGAATAATATAAGGGATAACTTTGATCCACCTATTGAAGGCTTATGCAGGTATACATGCCTAGCGCCAATATGATTGTCACAGTGGTATATGCCAAACAGTTCAGTAGTACTCTGCAGTGAAATCTTCCTGAATTGATGCTGCAATCTGTGTCAAATGAAGTCAGAACTTAGTTTAACTCAAGTGGTATTATACTCACATTTCAAACCTTCTTAATAAGATTAAGCAGCTTCCACTTGTCTTCAGAGAACTTGTAGCTTGAATAGTTTTGCTGGTTCTTATTGATGTTTGGGACTTCATCAGAGTCATCTGCATTATTTGTGAATTTGATGACAGCCTAATGACAGCCTAGTCATTCTGGGTTAGTAAGATCAAACTTAACACTGCACCTTTTAAGAAGCAACAAGTGTTTGATAACACCATGTCAAGATCTCTATCGTGTCTTGCAGTATGACGGAAGTTCGGGAGCCTTGATGAGTGCCTCATTGCAGCATTTCTTGGAGAACCTCTTGGCCTGTGGAGAATGTTAAACCTGGATATTGCTGTTTCAAAAATGTGTCACAAGAAGGTTCATTACTTACCTTTGCGATAAAGCTACAAACTTTCAAAAGGAGTAATGCCAATAGTCAAGGGTGTGAGTCAGTGTTAAGACCATACTCAAGAGGTATCAGATCCGAAGGGCTTTGGCCTCAGCTTGTGCGCTGTGCCCCATTCCCGAGTATTACCCCTTATTTCAGAGTACTGAAGTATCATGTCTAGTGAGACAGATAAGTATTGTAACAGATCTGTTAAGGCTTCTGGATATCGAACATATAGAGTAACAGCTAATCCAGATCGGATCTGAACTAGAAACCAATGGATAAAGACTGTCCGAAGACAGAGGCGGATATATAACTATAGGAATCAATCCTAAGTCTCGGATGAGACAAGAGTAGAAGACTCGAGTCCGGACAGATAACGGAGGACAAATGGAGGGACTTAGAGTCCAGACGGAATGAGTGCAATCTAAGATGATATCCGAACTGAAGTACTACAGTGCATGTACAAGGGTTTATATACTACGGATAACTAATGGAATGATCAATAAGCAAAGGTGTGAGGCTATGTACGAAGTATAAGCAAAGTATAATCAAAGTATATTGGATGGATCACGAATCATGAATCGGAAATGAACATAAGTTAAATGGATCCGTAAGCATAGTGGAAGTAAGAATATCCAGATTACCAGTGTACAGGAATACTGAAAGGAGATGAACAATAGTTAGAGTCATATGAACAGGAAATAAATAAGAATCAGATTGGACCTATGGACCGGACAATGGATATGTCCATCAGATCTGAATCAGATCTGAGATCCAGATCTTTGGATCTATACCCAGATAAATGGTATATGACAGTCAGATGGGAAAGACTTTGCAGCTGCATTGTCAATATATTGCATAAGAGCCTCAATTTCTTCCTCAGTATCCTTGTCATTGAGATTGGAATCAATCTCCCCTTGGCCACTATCTGATGGTTGTAGTTCTTTTCTTTTTCATAGGTGATAATGACAATAAGAATTTGCCCTCCATAATTGCAATAACATGTGAGAAGCAGTACAAGCATTGTTCTCTATGAATTTTACTCCATCAGCTTTCAGCTTGTTGGTGAGAATCCAGGCACTTTTGTCATTCAATGTGACATTGTTGGAGGTCAAGTTCTGAGTCTATGTTCATATAGTATGACAAGCAAGAAGATTCATTATAAATTGTGAAAAATAACAAACTTTGTATGTGACATTATACTTCTTTAAGATATCATAGAGCTTGTCACCCATGTTCACCCTGCTGTGACTTTCCTTGAGCTCTGAGAAAGATAGAAGCTCAGACCACAACTTCCATTCTTTTGTATTCCAATGTCCTGTCACTGCAAGGTATGCAGTCATAATTTTTGACACATCCATCCATCAAATGTAAGTAAGATTCAACCCTGTCATATCCCATATTCTGGACCTACATCTGATGATATTCCCATGCCTTCCAGACATACATCTGGACCTCCATACCCTTATCCATGCCTCCAGACCTCCAGTCTACTATTGGTCCAGATCCATGCACCTTCACACATCCAATATCCAGACACCTGATTCAATATATGGATCCATACTTTCATATTCCAGACTCAAATCTTAAATCAGTTTCTATCTCCCTCATGGTAATCCCCTTGACTCCAGACTTTGGTTATCTGTGTTTCTGTCTTGCTTATTGATCCTGGTACTCTGTTTCATTTCCAAGTTCATTTACTTATGTTCCGTCTCACTTACTAATGTATTTCCACTATATTTATACATAGCCTTAGTCCTCTGCTTACTAATCCCCTCATATGTCCTCCAGTATATAAACCTCTGTACAACTCCTGTAGAGTTTCCTCAGTTTGAATATTAACATAGACTTGCCTAATCTTCTTCCAGACTTTGGTCCATCTGAGTCCTGCCTGTTCCATCAAGGCCCAGGGATGGATTCCCTAGGCCAGAAATCCGGTGTGACAATCTGTTTAAAAAGTTATTGGATAGAATAACTGATGCAAGTGTCAATGAATCAATGAAAAGACATCTACCATGAAGCAAGGGAGTCTGCCACTCACACCTATCCAAGAAGAAGCCATATCAACATTATCTTCACTTATTAGCCTCCAGAAGTGGCCCACTTCATTCCTATCTTAACAGCAAGGCCAATAAAATCATTCTCAGATGACATAACCTCTCATTCATCAAACAATGGCTTTTGGTGATCTGTAGCATGAATTATTTGGCTTCAGTCACTAAGCGAGCATTTGCCAGTACTGAGTCTGATATTCCAATAGTAGGTCAATTTACTTTATTGCTAGCTATCTATACCTCACATGTGCCCCACCCTTCCAACCCTACTAGTTCCAGTAAAGACATAGATTGCAAGCCAGACATGAGTTTTTAGAACTCAGAGGTGAGCTGCCAGTAGTAACTCATGAAACAGGTAAATTTAATCTATAGTTTATTTTCTTGCTTTCTGGTTATGCTTTTACCTATCTTGTGCCATCTTGACAACTATGCCATGGGCCAATTTATTTGCCACATTTTTGGCAAAGAAGAAAGCCATGTCTGAAGGTGATAGTATGTCAGTGGAGTATATTACCAGGGGAGCAGGGGACAGGTTGGTACTAGAAACAGTTCTTGACCACTTTGAATGATGTTTAAGTTCTTTGATAGAAATTTGGTCATTGACCTTGTTGATGTTAGTTAAGAGTTAGTGCAGGATACTGACTACATCTTGCTATGTACATTATACTCATATCTGTATGTCACTTTGTATCATGTAGACATCAGTAACAGATAATACTAGAACATGATCTGATTTGCATGGTCCATGTGGTCCATTAACTTGGTGCCAGCAAACAATATCAAAGGTGACAGGATGGTCACCCTTTCAGCATACTTAGAGAAGACTGTGTGCTGAAACAATTGTAAGACATTGTAGGAGGATGAAGTTATAGAACTTGTTATTAATTTTGCCATGTCTAGAGTCCAGAGTAAGTTGTCAATGTATTAGAGTATAGTGAGAGTGTATAGTACCTAGGGTCCAGAGTCAGTTGCCAAAGAGGCAGGAAGCACTGGACTCTAGGATATGGGCGATATTTGGTAAACAAATGTAAACAGACAAGCCACAATCCAAATGCAAGGAATAACTCATCCTAGGGACGTCCTAGGGAGGTCAGGAAGTCATGTAAATAGTCAAAGAAATGTGAGGAATGATACTGTAAGTATATAGAGATAAAACACATAGGAAAGCGTACTGTAGAGGTGAATAATCATATAACTAACATTTGGATCCTCTGGCTGTAGCTGCAAGGCTTGGCCAAGCATGTCCATCTCTCACACCTACTTAAATATTCTGTCATCTTACTGTCAGTCCTTCCCTATATATACTCTGCTATCATACTCTTTTACCTTCTTTATTATGACCTCAAGCCAGCAGCTGCCAATGACTTTAGTGGTGCCCTTTGTGACTAGTCACTCTGAGTTGGGCATGAATGGCAGATGGTCTGTATGAGGTATGAAAAGACTGGTTCCAAGTCACTTCATCCTCCAGGGAAGCAATACAAGACACAAGCACAGAACTCTCTGTCTTGATATACTCTAGATAGTATGTCTGCTAGCCTTCCTTCAAAATGAAAATGTGGACCCTCTATGTTTTATTATTATGAGTTATTGTTAAGACCGTAGCTCAAGGGTTAACAGATCTGAAGGGCTTCGCCTCAGCTCGTGCGCTGTGCCCCTTACCTGAGTACGTGCCCTTAATTTGAGAATGAAGTCCAGATGGAATCCGACGAAGTCCAAAGGACTTCCGGAGGCTGGCTACTCTAGTAGAGTGCTAGAGGACTTCCAGATGAGTGCGAGGAACTTCCAGAGGAGTTTCATCCACTGTATCAGATCCGAAGGTAAGACTTCCAAAGGTAAGTTCCCTAGATAGAAACACATAGAGGATAGGCTGCAAGGGACAGAGTCCAAAGCAGGATAGGATAGGAGAAATGGTCTGAAGGACGGGACGTCCAAAGGTCCGAAGGTTAAGATGTCCGAAGGGTACGTCGTCTGAAGGTTACGACGTCCAAAGGTTACGGCGTCCAAAGGTCCGAAGGTTTACAAGGACCGGAGGAGCGGACAGGATTAGGACAGGAGAGGAAAGGCTACTACGGACAAGGTCCGGAATAGAAACAAACAGAGGTAGGCTACACTATGGTAAAGTCGGATAGACGGGGTTTAGACAGAAGTCTCGGAAAGACAGGAAGTGCCAGAAAGGCAAAACTTCGGCTTAGGGAATCAATCCCTAAGCATGGATATAGACGGAAGGATAAATCCGGAGGACCGGAAAGTCGGCCTAGGGAATCCTTCCCTAGGCCTTGATGGAAAGGCAGAACTCAGATGGACAGAAGTCCAAGACAAGAATGAGTGAAGTCTAAGATGCGAGAGAGCAAGTCTATGTTGATATTCGAACTAAGGAAACTTTACAGGAGTTGTACAGATCTTTATATACTGGAAGGGATCTGAGAGGATCGGTAAGCTGAACACAAATGCTATGTACAAGCATGTGGAAACATATTAGTAAGTATGAATGGAACATAAGTAAATGAACTCGGATATGAACAGAGTACAAGGATCAATAAGCAAGACGGAAACAGAGATAACCGAAGTCCAGAGTCAAGGGGATTACCATAAGGAGATAGACGCTGATTTAAGGTTTGAGCTTCGGATATGAGTATAGGTCGGATTCGGAGGTCTAGAGATATTGGATGAAGCATCTGGATATCGGATGAGCGGATCCAGAGATCTAGGTGAAGACGAGACTAGGATATGGATCATGGATATAGACTGGTAGTCTAGGGAAGGTAGAGTCCGAGATGGAATGAGCTCGGTTCCGATAGGACCAAGGGTGGATGAAGCAGGCTTAGCTGCGGAGGTCCGAAAGTATGAATATATGGATGTATGAAGGTGTACGGATCCAAACCGATAGTGGACTGGAGGACTGAAGGCATGGATAAGGGTATGGAGTCATGGATAAGGGTATGGAGGTCCGGATGTGCATCCGGAAGGCGTGGGAACATCATTGGACATAGGTCCGGAATACGGGATATGACAGTTATGCACAAAATATTCTATGCAAACTTCATTTGCATTTATGTATCCAAAGCTATGGTATCAACTAAGTTGACAATATAAATAGAGAGCTTGTAATTGGTAGCCAAAGGTACAACAATCAGGTAGTGCTAATGTGCTGTAACACAGCCTTTTGCCAAGCATTCTATGAGATTCAGAAGTATTCTATAGTACATTGGTAATCAGTAGCATAGCCACTAGTTTAGTATATAAGGATCTCATTTTCTTCTCTTATGAAATAATCAATTTCATTTCCAAATTTTAATTATCAAATTACAAGTGTGATACAAGTTTAAGGGAATCAAAGATGATTCAGAGTCCCCAGAGTACAAGATAGCTATACAGGCTTACATTCCCACAGAGCTATGTGCACCTACATACTTATGACCTAAATAAAGGGCTTTCACTTCAGAGGCCTGTCTTGAAGAAAACCTTGAACAATCAAGGTATTTGTGATAATGATAGCAATGATAGTGACAATATGGATACAAAGGAGGGTGCATGTGCATATGCTGGTAAGCTTCTAATATATCTGCCTTTGAAATATTGAGATACTATTATTAATAAGGATTAGGTATCTCAAATAATGTTATGTTCTTATGGTATTTTAACTATATATAATTCAAATAACTGGTTAATATCTTGTGAACTTGTTTAGTTTGTTGCTGATAGCTGGTGAGTAATTGTGGAAATTGTGATAAAATTAGTTATTTGCTAATTGCTCTCATAAAATTCTTTATGTAATGTTCTAGATTATGCTGTGCAACCTATTTCAGTAAAGTGTATGGCTGCCTATGATGCCATGATGACAACCCTACTAAGGGAGGAGCCTTTAATATACTTGATATATCCTATAGTACATAAGTAACAATTATAGTTCTAGTAGACTATGCACATACACACACATAGTTTATAATACCATACATGTATACCAAAATCCTTCATAGCAGCCTAGGTAAGAACAGATTGCAAGTAGAGAAATGATTCCCAATCTCAGTAATAGGTGCTACTAGACTCCTTGTGAACACATTCATGAGGTGATTAGGTTAGATAGCAAAATGCCCACATGCTACATATATGAAGATCAAGCCTGTACTCTTTCATTCACCACTCAAGTTTCCAGATGTGTCAAATCTGTCTATAAGGCAGTTGATAGAACTTTGCAGTTTACAAAGGCACTGGTAGTGCTAATGATAACATGCATAAAACTTGTAGTCAATAATTCTCTAGTTTAAGCTTTCTGTGTATACATCAATCATGGTATCAGCTTAATGTATCTCCTGAATATCATTCTTTCTATTATGATAACTGTTGAAAATTTATATTTCATTTCTGTTAGTACAGATCACTCATATAGTAGGACAATAAATAGTAATATCAAACTCCCCTTGCCTTGGGCTGAATATTAGATAGAGTAGTAATAGGATCAGTAACCAATGTACTTCCTTTGCTGGGCAGTCCATTGGACTTGGTTTGTTTTACTGACAGGAAAAGTAGCAAAGTCCTGCATACAGAGTGGAGATGTTATTGTCTAAAGTGGGTGGTCAGCTATCTCTGCAGCACAGGAGTCAATGTTATAGGAGGGGGGGCCTTCAACTGCAAATGAAACCAGAGGATCCCAAGTGGACTCTCTGGATGGCAGCTGGAATGTGCTAATGAAGAAAAGATATGCTCTTTAGATATCCTTAGTAATTAAGTGATTAAAACTTACTTGTATGGAAGCCTGGACAGTGTTTTTTCACACTGGGAAAAATCTCCAAAAGATGGAGTTACAGCTTCATCAATATCACCAACACCCTTCATGAAGATTAGACAGTTGATTGGTTTAGATTTGCATAAAATGTGAATCTTCTATAAAAGCACTACAATTCTTGCCTTATGACTGACAGTCTCATTTTCAGTGGCAAAAACTATCTAAAATCAGTGTCAGCTGAGAAAAAATAAAAATCCCCATACACCTTTAGGACATTAGCATGTAAAGCTGAAAGAAAGAACAATATCATTCACTAGCATATGCAATGAAAGCCAACCAGCTTCCACACTTGGCAAATCCAGCTACAGTATCTGATTTCACATTTGCTTCTTTATCTAGATAAGCATATGAAATGTTTTTGCCTTTGATTCTGTGTAAATGTTAATGACCAAACAAGCAAAATACAAAGAACTTACTTTGCAAGGTGAAAGGCTGGTTTTATATAGTCCACCATGGATATGAATGAAACATAATGGAAAAAATTAACATTAGACCTACACTTTTCAATCAAGGCATGCAGGCTAAGATCACTACTATAGGCTAAAACAAAGGTGGTGGGCATCTGAATTATCCCTAGAAGATTTTTGATACTTTCTATATGCACCAAGGAGGAAAGATTTGCCAGCTCTATAATCCTAGTCAGGATGTTAGACTCTGGGGTAGGTGGATGATAATAGGTCCACTGAACTGCACCAGCAGGACATATTGGCACTACCTCAGCTAGTATACTTGAAATGTTGCACTGGGGAAGGCTCAAAATCTGGAGAGTGTTAATAAGTTTTGTGTGAATAATTAGTTTTAAATAGCTCACCTGCAGGACAAAAACATCTCTCAGTTCTCCTAGGACATAAATCCCTCTGAGACATCATTCTAGAGCTCTGGCTTCTATCTGAGTCAGGTGTCAGATTGGAATGTTGAAGCTATTTGAGTATATCTTCAGGGATGTTAATAGAATACATTCATTGTATTGAAAGTCAGTATTGAGATAGGTTCAGAACCAGGTGAGGCTTATTCAAGTTGATAATTCAAATTACTGAGTCACTTCAAAGCTTTTCTGACTTAGACTCTAAGACACATATGATGACAGCTGCTACCTCTTCAAGTTAGTACTGCCATAACACACTATTGTCATACTATACTAGCTACCAGTGATACATGGGCCTCTCTCACCATGTGTTAAAAGCCTGCATATTTGCAAGGTAAGTAGAAAGAATAAAACAAAGCAATATGATCAATTTTTGAGGCATAAAGACTATCTGTTAGATGTTTAATGAAACCTTGAACAATCATAAAAGCAGCAGTATTGGTAATGTCCATAGTAGCCTTAAAGCCTGTGCAATTACTGCTAATAAATCATCACTCATACCATCAAGAACCTGAGGTAAAAATGAAGGACATCATCAGGATAACAGTTTTATATGGCTATAATCTATAAGAAGCCTTAGACACTTAACCACAGCTGTTATTAATAAGGTTTTGGAGAATGACACTTTTATGAACACACCTACTAATGAAAGTCATTGCCTTTTATTATTCTAAATTCAATGCTTATAGATTTATAAATTGAGTGGGAGAAAAAATCATAGATGTATCTTTTGACCACAGTATAGTGCAGAACCTTGTTAGACACATCCTTTTCTACAATGTTAGTCCAGTATTGCTTTGATAAGTCACCTCAATGTATTACAATATGTATCTATATAACAGAACATTAAATATGATTAAGATAATTTCTAGTTAGATTGGAATTATAAACTGAAGTACTACTGATGATGATTGGTGATTATTGCTAAAGTAATCAACTCCTACTTGTATTTAATAACTCTGAGTGGGATGAAGCTAGCATTAAGGAGCAGGATAGAGGACAAGGACATTTTCAAATGTCAAGTAAGTCTGATAAAAAGGTGTGAGGTAAAAAGTGAAAATTTTGGTTTAAGATAAAATTTAATATTGGAATATACTGTTGCAGAGGGTTCATAAAGAGGGACTGCAAAAATACTCCCCTAGTCTTGTCTAGGGTTTGGAATCTAGGTTACTTCTGTGCTAAGGGTTCTTCAGAATATATTAGATCAAACTATGAACTCAGAAATTGTAATACTTAATCACCAGAATGATTCTATAATGTATCTTATAGTTAATCTTGTCACACATATTGTTACAGTCGACTGTATGCCCCTATTCTTTCTTTTTACTCTTACCTGTATTACATCATGTGCTGCACATGCCACTGCTAGACCTCCATTTATATTTTGTGTACTTACTATTCTTGTTAAGTCTTAAACCTGTTGCATTTATATTACTTATGTATCCTTAGTCCATGCACTCTATATGGTCTATTTAAGCATTAACACTATGTTCTGTACTTTAATCTTACTGGGTTTTACCTGGAACTTTCTTTGCTTATGTACCAATGATTTTCCAAAGTGATTCTGGCGACACTTTATTTCATCATTACTCAGCTATTTCATTTCGTAACAGACTCCATGCCAGACACACTCAATGATACCCTCCAAGTTCTGCCTGAGGAGCCAAGCTACCCAGGACACACCCAGGACCTGGGAGAGATACACAGTAGAGTGCAACAAGTCGTCATTACTGGTATGTGATATTTACTTTGCTCAGCTCGTATTGACGATTTCCCTCAAGCTATTTGCACAACTAATCTTACTATTGGTCTCCAGCACATCCCCGCTGACTTGCATGTGGTGGTAAAGACCGACAGTGCTGAATGTCAGATGGGCAACAAACCCGTACACGTATATGAGGCTGTTGTCAAATGGACCAAGTCCATACTTCTGTATGTTGTCCTTAATCTCATCTTTTCTGTGCAGATTGAGAAGCACTCTAGGCCGTGTGAGCCATCTTCTATAGTTCAAGTCAGCGTGCATGCCTCATTTGAATTGGGTCCGATGCTCAGTCAAGGAGAAGTCCTCCACGCATTTGAGATCTCCGTCGGAGAATTACTGGATCATAGCGAAAATTCAAGTGGTCAGTAACGTCTTTTGCAAATAACATCTGACAGATGTTAAGAAGTATCACAGCCATAATCTTTCAGCTCAAGCAAGGCGAAGTTATATCCCCATGTACATCACTGTTCATGACACTGGCACGGCGACTTGCTGATGAAAACAACACCGCAGTTCTTTGCCCCCTGACTACCATGAGTGATCAATGCTGTATGGCATTCTGATGCTAAGAGCTCGTAACGTGTAGCTTACGTCCCTCAATATGGATGCATTAGCACTAAGGATGGATGCCAGACATCAGCTTCTCGCACGGTACCATGGGACGCAGAACAGTAGGGATCTCGACCAATCCATAAACCACTTTGAATACGTCTTGGATATCTGCCCCATGGATCATCCCTGCCGCCTTGCAGCACTGTTCAATCTAGCTACCATACAGTTTGTTAGTTGCTATGCTAACAGAAGACACCTCGACCTTGACATCCCTATCAATGTGTTCCAAGATGCCCTTGATAGATCATCCCGACCAAACCGTCACCCAGTTCCACCTTGCCATTGCTCTGCTTTCTCGCTCTGTAAAACAAGGATTTCAAGCAGATGCTGATGCAGCTCAAGAGTTACTGAACAAAGTCCTCAATGTCTGCCATGCCAACAGCCACATTTACAGAGCAGCTTTGATTGCAGTCGAAACATCCGCTCTGCATTCTGCGGGAAGCATTGGTGCAAATGATCTTGGGCAGGAGCAGCCCACCACATCCATGCTTCCATTATCACTGAATCAACTTGCTCATCAAACAGAGCTGTGTTTGCAGAGAGATGAGCCCCCACCCTAGATGAAGTGATATCCCTTCATTATCACGCACTGGGATACTACAACTCTGGGCATGGCATGCGTGCCGAGGGCAATTGCTAGGTAATCTGGCTGTAATGCTGATCACTTGCTTTGAACGTTGAGCCTTTGCGCCTGGTTGGTCACCCAGATCAGTCTATGTCATTAAATAACCTTGCAAATCAACACTCCTCCCACTTTGAGCACCGAGGCAAGGACGAAGACTTGAATCAGGCTATCGCACTTCAGAGGGAAGCACTGGCTTTATGCCTGGTTGGTCACACAGATTGCTCATTGTCATTAAATAACCTCATGAATCAACTCCCCTCCCGCTTTAAGCACTCAGGCAACAACAAAGACTTGGATCAGGCCATCACACTTCACAGGGAAGCGCTAGATTTGTCCCTGGTCAGTCACGCAGATCGGACGTTGTCATTAAATAACCTCGCGGCTCAACTCTTCTCCTGCTTTGAGCACTGAGGCAAGGACGAAGACTTGGATCAGGCTATCACACTTCATAGGAAGCGATGGCTTTGCGCCCAGTCGGTCACACAGATCAGTCATCGTCATTAAACAACCTCACAACTCAACTCTCCTTGCGCTTTGACCATCGAGGCAATGGAAAAGGACTCGATGAGTCATGAGACAACCTATGCTGCGCATTGACTCTGTTGACACAACATGATCCTATCCAATTAAATGTCTATGTTTTGCTCGCAACTGTCTATCTATCATTCCATTGTTCAGGGCTTGATGGCACCAGCGCCGGCAAAGATACCGACAGTCTGAATGCTGTCATGCATCATCTCAAGGCAGCAGCAAATGTTGTCTTGGAGGCTCACTATCTCGCCTGTGAGCAAGTCTATGCTGGGTTTGCCATGCTAGTCAACATTCACATGCCACTGAGCTGGAGGCTTATGCAACTTCCATGCAACTTCTGGACGCTTACATGTCCACCACAGCTTCCATATTGTTCCATCACAATGTCATGAAGGATTTCCCAAGTACACATGCTGTGGATGCTGCATTGTGTGCTCTTTGTAGTAGTGACATGTGTCACACTGTTGAGTCGTCGGAACAAGGCAGGACTATCATCTGGACCCAGATGACACAACTACACATGCCTCTTGACAGCCTCCAGACACATGGCAATCACGCAGTGGCCTTGGTGAAGAAATTCCGAGACCTCAGCTCCCTCCTTGACAAACCTCCTGCGAACGATCGAGAAGCGACCCCAAGAGTCGATTGTAGAAGTAGACAAAACCTAGTACAGACATTAGTAAATGACTGGAATGGAGCTGTAGAAGAGATCCGGAAGGTCGAGGGCTTCTCTCGCTTCCCTCCTTCCCCCTTATTCTCCAATCTTCAAGATGCAGCTCGTGATGGGCTTATCATCATGCTCCTCGCAAGCAAGTTGTCTTGTGATGGCATTATCATCCTGCACAAACAAGGTCAAAAATCTTACCCGATTTCCACAACGAGGTTCTTGAATATGGTGGTGTCCGATGTCTGTTTTCAATTTTTTGCCGTTGCACGCTGCTGGCGAGTACAGGGAACATGAGACTCCAATGCGGAAGTACACCAGCCTTAACAACAGCCTTGGCGCAGTTGTAGGATGACGTTGTCCACCTGATGATCGAAAATTTGGGCAGATTTGCATGACCAGGCTCCCAAATATGGTGGTGCCCGACGCTTGTCTTCAATTTCCTGCCATTGCACACTGCTGGCCGGTACTGGAAAGATGGGCAGTTCCTTTCATAGTTCTATGTCTCTTCATACACACCATCGCTTACTGCATTGATAAATGCTCGCAGACATGACAGGTCTCTGTCAGTGTCCTTTGCTGCCATTGGTCAGGATCGCCCAGCCAGTGCTTCACACACTTTGGAATGTGTGGAGCCTGAACTGGAATTAGTGCAGAGTCTGTTACCCCCCTCCCCCAACTCTTTCCTTCACCAAGATAACGAGTGTTGATGCAACGAAATTGAGGGCACTGTGCACGCTGCGAGAGAATACTTGGCTCCATTTTTCGTGTCATGGGACACAGAAATATGAAGACTCCTTCAATTCGGCCTTTCTCATGTGAGACCAGCCACTTTCACTCCTCATTATCACACAAACAGATCTGTCTCGGCATGAATTTACATTCCTTTCTGCCTGTGATACCACAGTCAGTGACCATGATACTCCTAACAACGTGATACACCTAGCGGCCGGCCTGCAATTTGCTGTGTCATAGGGACATTATGGAAGGTCAACAATAGTACTGTGCAGCGCTTAGTTGAGGCATTCTACAAAAACCTGTGCAGGGATGGCAAATGAATTCCAAGCGAGCCACCTGAGCGTTGCACCGAGCGGTCCAGTCGTTGGCTTTCGACAAGGACATGCCCTTGGACCAGCGCATAGTGTTCATGCATATTGGCATATGATCAATTTTGTGCGTACTCCTAGCTTATTGATTAATGTATTAATCTGATGATTTCGCATGTAGCATCAAGTCGTGGTTACTTGCAGCTTGTTGCCAAGAAGATAAATTTCTATTTTTCAGACTATAACTGTATATCTCCCTGATATGTGCACCCAATGTAGACTTCTATTTGTATTTTCCAGTCTGTTGCCTGGGAACCACAGGTGACTATCATCAGGTTAGGTGCATGGATGGGACTTCCGCATGAAGGTCTAGTGGATATCTCCCCGTCTCTTAAATCCATCACTCCAGGATGTTTTCTTCTGTCGATGGAGGTTTGATCAATTTCAATGGGGAGCATTTATCTCATCCCACGCTTAAATCAAGCCATCCTCTGCATTGCAATTAGTAGTTGATGGGGATCATTTTACAGATAGTGGTCCTGCCACAGCTTCAATGTCAGCACGTATCTAGTGTGTATGTTCTTGATATTTTTATTTTCACTTACTCTAATTCGGTCCTTCTTCCATCCCAGCACTAACAAATGCAAGTGGTGTCCAATGCCTAAATCCAGAGACATCCAAACATTCAGTTTTGGAACAAGGCTCACCACCTCGAGTGGTTGGATGCTGAATTGACCATCGACGTGGAGAAAGGCAAGAGCAAGGGCAAGGTGTGTCCTAGCCAAACCAAAAATGGACGGTGATTTTTTCTCTTTCAATTCGGATGATACTGATCATTATCTACTAATATCAGGAACCTGTGCGCCTTATGTTAGCTGAAACAACCAAGTTGACGCACCCAGGAGTCAGTGCCCACTACAACTCTCTCACATCAACACAACATACGGTGCAGCTCTATACTACTCTCAACAAGGGCTGCATCTACTAGGACGCATCATACCACCATGATATTTTCCGTGTTCCTCAACGCATTTTCACTCTGATTTATACTGCCTCTGCTCATCTAGTCTGCTCTGCTCTCAGCATGTTTCCGATGTGTGCTCCACCTGTTTTCAAATCATTTCATATCAATTTTGATTTTTTTTGTGCACTGGCTTTCAAGTACCTATATGGCTTAATACTCTCTGTGCAATTGAAGAAGAAAGTGGTGTTTTATCCATTACAAGCGGTGACCTTCGGTCGGTACTTTTTATTGTCATTGTCATGTCATTTCACCATAACTACAAAAGCAGACTTTTGTACACTATTTTTGCACTATCTTTTTCCTCATTTGCTCCTGAAAATAAGCACAGCCTATGGACAATGCTGTATATAGCTGAGAGCATGAGACCTTGGCAACTATTGAAAGCTATGTAGAGCTGTTATTCCTACTCATGCATTTATCACCAATTCCTTCTCGACTGAGAGGTTGCGTTGTATGACACATGCTGTTTATTTTGAGATGCAGTCGATGGGGAGAAATTCTGGGCCCGTAAGCCCATCACTTGTTTTGTGGGGAGAGAAAGGCACAATCGAGGCAAGTATGGGAATTCACCAGCTAGTACTATGTGTGGCAGGAGAAGAAAGCAAGCGCTTCGTCAGTCTCTGTTGACCGCCTGAAGCATCTTCGCCAATTTCATGGACAAACATCTAATGAACTGTGGGTTTCCAGATCTCCAGCAGTGCGAACAGGTATGTGCGCAATGAAAGCACATGCATAGCATGACATAAGTGAGATCCAGCCAGTGGTTAAGAAGTGGCAAGTGTGTGCGTCAGCGCTGCACAGCATGGTGGGGTGGACACGAACCACCGGAAATGTGTGCTTATATCTGTTAGAAATGTAGCACCCAAAGAATTGTCAGATACATGTACAACATCAAACATAAACATCAGTTGCATTTTTTAATCGCACTACCAAAAGAACTGTAGGTCATTTAGAGATGATACACAAGGGTTACAAACAAGCAAAAACGAGTATCCTATCCAACAGGTAAATCATGAACATACAACAATCAATCCATGGAGGCAACATCAACTCTCATTGCCAATGCCTCTTCCTCTTCATTCACACCATTATCCATGCACTCTTCCAAAACGGTTCTTCTGGCAACCATAGCTTGAAGGAAACGTGCAGATGCATTCCTGCGAGCGATGTCAATCAGACCCTTTCTCTCCTCCTGGGCTTTTATATTTGTCTTCTTTGTCATCCTCTGCTTCTTCTTTGACTCAACATCCCGACATTTCCATATGGCGAGCCAGTACTCAACACAATAGCAAAGATACACCCATGACGAGCTATATCTGGTGGGGAGAGGCACATAGCCAAGAAGCCAATGGTCCTTCACAACAGGAACCCGCAAACACTGCTCAGCCTTATCTCCTACACCATACTTTGTCAGTTCCAGAACACCGTAGTGGATCCTGTGAGGCGATTGTGCATTCCATTGATCCATAGACAGCTCAGCCTTCGTGATAGTGATGCAGAAATCACTGATTGGTTTAGGAAGTGGTTTGATGATGACAGCATGTTTTGCTGTGTTCATCGCACAATGCTGTTGCCAACTAGCTTTGACTCTTTGGAAAGAGATTTTCATACAGCTGGTTAGGACACCTTTATTTTTTTTTGACATTGTGCTGTAGTGCTCAGATTGTCTGTTTGTTTCTCAATCAAGTCTCAATCAGCTCAATTCTCGTCAGGCATCACTTTTTTGATGCTCAGATTGGTGTTTGATTACAACTACAACAGGAGCCGTTTTGACGCCTCCCAAGGTTACACCAATAAGAACCTCTGGGGAACCCTCCTCACCCCCTTCCTAATGTTTGAGTATATCCATTCCGCCCAGAGGACGGAAATTTGAAGGGTGTGCCCCTGGATTGATGTGCTTTGGAATTGGTTTTACCTGGTCTCCTGGTTGGCCTATCATCTGGTTTTTCCATATTCAAACACCCAACCATGCAATGCAGAGTCATAAAAAGCCCCACATTCTGTCCCTTCTGTCCTTTTTCCTGTCTATGATTTGGAGAGCATTATGGAGCCTGAAAGCGGACAAGATGTACCTACAAAAACCTTGCCTGCTATTCGAGCAGCATTGGCTTCATGGGATCAGGCGGCATTAGGAGCCTTTTCCCGTGGTCTCAACAAGACGGAATAATTGAGTTGATTTGACACCGGCATGAGGCTTGTTGGGAAAGATTAGCGTAGAAGGAAAAAAATACAAAGACGGATTTCTTGAGCTAAATTGCTAATTGTTGGGTCCATCAGTCACTGTGATGAACAGATCAGCGATCCATTGTTAGCTGTCTTGGGTGCAATGTGCGACAATGGGTCCATGGTTGAACAAAAATGTACCGCAGCCGCCACTGTGAGGATGCCATGCAAGACCAGATGTTGTTCTATTCCTGCGGGAGGATAGAAAGGTTGATGCATAAAAAAGATCGCCCTCCATGGTGAATACAGAGCCAAGCGATTCCTGGAATGTCTTCTCTTGTGTCCCATGCAAATACATCACACCCCTGTATTTTGTGGGTCCACTAGAAGAATTGACTTTGATCAAGATCCTCTCACTCTGCAATGGTGTCGCACTCCTTGCTCTATTGGTTGTGACAGAAGCATTCATCAAAGATGAATCATCACCGTCTATGAATGGTGGGAAGTGCATGGATGAATCTGAATCCAACTTACGTGTGCGCCCTTCTTCGAACCTCGCTATTGTTGGTTGTGTACATTGTTATACTATTATTCGAGCTACATCTCAACTGCTCCGCTGTGTGTATGACTGCAACATTGTCAGTATTAATGCCAAATGTTGAAGACAATAATCAGGAGTGTTTTAGCCTGTCTCCGGGTTTAAACCTTCCAAAATGTCTGTGTATATTTCATTTTATTGACTTAAAAACATGGCGCTTCAAACATGACTCAGACATGGACATCTAACATTTCTATCTATCAACATAGTATCAAGCAGTAATCTACAGCCATACCCTCGAAGCCATGATCTCTGAGTCCAGATTCACTGTATCAACGCACTAGAGTTAGGGCAACAATACATCATAATTATGGAACATACCCAAGGGGAGTATGAGTCATTGGATCAAACATTGTCAGAACAGAATCAGTATCATGCAAGATGCCATGGTCAATGTAACTTAGATAGGATACAGACAATGAGTTGCAAGAGAAATAGAACTGCGTCATACATACCCTGCAGGTCTGCAAACATATACTCACATGCAGAACTCTCCAAGACAAATGGCTAAAAGCCATGATGGTTGCGGACTGTTTATCAGTGCAGTTGCGCACTCCAAGAGTCTCGAAATATGTGAGAACAGCAGAAGAAACCCGGCGAGGCTCAACTAGATAAATTGAAGTTGGCTGATGTGTAGGGATGATATTTTCGCTAATTGGAGTCTGAAGCTCCACTTCGACATTGACAACTTGGCCTGCATCGGAGTAGGTCTTGATAATAAAGCCATCAGAAACCTGAAACACTAAAGATTGTTAGGTCAATTGTTAATTTCTAAATTGTCCAAATAAACTTACCTGCAGTGTCGATGCCTTCCTGAATGACTCACTGTGTAAATTTGGCTTCGAAATAGCTTAACCTTTTGGGCCAGATCAGATCAGCGGTGAGAAATTGGCAGGCATCCTGTATTGCGAGCTGTCCGCGACCTTTTCCCACATCAAAGAGTTTCTTTGCCACATATTCCTGATTTTTGATGATCAACTAGAAAGGTCGTCAGAGGATGATCTCAAGAAGAAAAAGTATGGCTAACCAAAGATACATCTTTGGTCTTGCCACGGTCAGCTGCAGAGAGAAACAGCGTGTTGCGTGCGAGAAAGCCTTGCTCTGTAGTGCCCTGCTCAGTGAGCATGTAATTACCATCCTGATCAATCGTACAAATGGTTCGTTGGAATGTTATTTTGTCGGAAACAGATACTGAAGCAGGATGTCCAGTTACAGCATCATGCTGGAATGATGATGTCAAAATGGCATTCTCATCGGCTGTCAATTCAATTGAACACAATGAGTGAGGTCAAAGTTGGTTTACAAAACATAGTACTTCTCAATCGCTTAGCAGCTGACGTTTGAAGGAGTGTACCATTTCCACGTGTGCGTTTTGACTTCTGACGGCTGAAAGTTGATTTTCCAACATCGGTACTTCCAGAATGGTCTTCACCAGTGTGTTTTTCGTACTGTTTTGGGTGATACAGTTGAATTTTTGAAATCAGGGGAAAAGAGATATTTACCTGCTCAGTATCGATGAATAACTCGAGTGAAATTGCATGGCCTGACTTATTTCCCTTCAGGGCTCCAGCAGGCACTTGGATATGGAAGGCAGCTCAGTCTCACTCCTACAGCCTGGGCAGTGAGTCAGGTAGCAGCAGAATATATGTCGGGCTTACATGAGCAGGTCAGAGACATGTTTTGAAGTCCATTTTGAGTTGACAAGCTTTATAATGTTTTCTTGAAGAGCTGCCGAGGGAGTTACAGAGTAAGTGCGCCATGTAAAAATCAAAACATAGAAATAGTTTCTTACCTATGAATGTCATTGTCTCAGCATAGGGTGCACAATATGTGCCAAGAGTACGGTCAACAGAGCCAGGCTTGTGACTCAAGCAGCACTCGACATAGATGGTAACACTACCCGGTTTTCCATTGTTCTCTTGCAAATTGCTCAGCTTTGACTTGGGTGTTGATGGACTGAGTGGTCGATGCAGGCGTCCTTCAATTGCATTGCATCGACGAGCCTGGGAAGAAATAGCCTCTCGGTCAGAGATTCCATTTTCGTCATGTGCTGCAAGTTTAACCATCACAGGAGTAAGTTCACTGCTGGTGATACACAATGTAGAGATGTTGCACCAACCTTTGCGCTTGCACGTTCCACATGGGTCGCTTATGTTCATTCCACAGATACCACACTGAAAACACTGTTTCAGTGTCCCCTGATCAGGTTTGTAGGAGGTAAGATACATCTCAACATTTCCACTGGTAACAACAAACCTTGAGATGTGCAACTTCGTCATCTGTGAGCCCTTCCTTCTTCAGCTTCTTGCACAACTGACAGAGTAGGGTTCCAGGGGACATCTGAGGAAAGAATCTCACAACACGCATTGCCAAGCTTAAGGAGGAACAGCGGGAGATTCTCAACAAAGTTTCGGTAACAAAGAGGCTGGCTGCAAAGTACATTTTAAACAGGATAGCACTGGAAGAGAATGTCCAGAAGATGGTGGATTTATTTGAAGAGCAAAAAGCAATGGCATAGTGGAAATCTTGACCATGTTGTCTCGAAGTGGAGATCAGAACTTAAAGATCTGCTTCACGGTTGCCGAGAGCATAGGGAGGACAAGATGAGGGAGACACTCTTGCACAATGTACTCTCAGACCATGTTGACACGCTACAGGATATAGATATAAATCATTATCATTAAATAGCATACCATAACATCTCAACATTTCCATGTGCTGGCAAATATTGATGTACCATTTTGAATGCCCCAGCTTCACCACTTCCCCAGTGTGTGACGTCTGTGTCATATCCATGCATTCGGATCTCAGATCAGATCCAGATCCGATCCACCGATCTGATATCCGGTCCACAGATCCGGTCCACTGATCAGATCTGGTCCACTAGTCCAATCCGGACCACTGATCCACTATCCAGTCCACAACGCGGTTTACCAGTCCACAACTCATTCCCGAGCCCAGAACCTTACTTCCTGTGCCTCATTGCCTGATGAACCTCAAACCGCATACAAACCAGTCGGATTATGCGTGAGTATCACTACTAAGAAGGTGGATAATTGAGGTTTTAGTGCAATGAACTAGTAACGGTGCCCAGCAAGTGTAAACATTGCATCTTGGAGGAAGTTCCGCATTCGAATGGTGTGTTTGATCTTTCCTGGACTTCAAGGACCGCACAGCATATGTGTTTTGAACAGTCAGTATACCCAGAAGCCAGCTTCAAGTCCAAGGTTTGATGTAATGTGCAGAGGCCTTGAGAAGGTGATCAAATCAAGAAAGTTACATCCATAGACATCATTACAGCGCACAGAGACAGTCCCAAATATTGTGAGATTTGCAGAAAAGACATTGCCTATACATTCGTTGCACATTACAAAGCAGTGGTTTGGCATCCGGGCCAAACATCCATGGGTTCGTGATTCTCCCATTGAAGGCAGATGTTGATGGCTCTGTGACAATTTACTTGCTGGTTATGTTTTCTGTTCGTATGTTTAATTTGCACTCTAGTGATTTGTCCATGCTTATTTTAATTGAATTACTGCATGGGACAACTATCAGATACTGTCTAGTAAGCCTTTTGTTGTGAATAGGGGCAATTGAATATATTACTGTGTACTAGCTCTTGTTTAGCTTCCCGTGGTAATAATCAGATGTCGCCAGATGGACAATTCTTCTTCCTTCCAGAAGAACTCATTCCTTCTTGCTTGTAATACATAGCATAGTGCCTCACAATTTGCGACCTTAACCAACTCTACATGCCCAAACTCTAATACATGGTCAATTAACTCGCAATAAGTGCTCAAAGTCATTAAAATTACAATGGTCGCCAAATATGGATGTCTCGTAGATGTCGTAAAAGTCTGACTACAGAGCCCAAACTTTAAGCAACATCATCATTAACCACCGACTGTTGTTTGTGGTTTGTGGATGGCCTCATTGTTGATATATGCCTCATTGTACGCCAGTTTTTTCAGACCAATGTCTTGCACTCCCTTTATTCCAACCCTGTGTCTTTGGCTTCTACTTGGAAATTCCAGATGGTCGCACTAGCACACTTCTCAACTCAACACCTGTGTTGCAATTCAATACATTGTGATGTCCCAACACAATGCAGAGTCTTCCAGCGCTCTCCCCCAACATCCAGTCTCGCTATATACAGGTCGCAGCTACACCAGATAACTCAGAACTCAAGTATACAGGACCACTCTTCCAGTGCCTTGCCACCATTCAAATAGTCAGTTCTGGATCAACCCACTCCCCCTCCGGTGGACAAAAAGCCAGCTGGAGATGGCTTGAGAACACCCTACATCACGCCACGTCCACCTTCAGCATCGACTCTCTGCTCCCTTTGGACTTCTCCATGTTACCCCTTCCCTCTTCCTACGGTTATGGTATCGTTCAAAACAAGGGAGGTTCTGCAGAGAGCTCGACTACGAAGATGCGAAGAAGGAATTCAAGACCGGACAACGGGAGCAGTTCATATACGACGAAATCTCAAACCAATGGGATATCTGTTCACTATTCGACAAGGATCGAGATGTAGAAAATGATGATGTTGCATTTCACCAACCCATCCAGGAGCTCGATACCACACCAACTCCACAAGTAAACAACCCTCCTACCCTTTCATCGGACCACAATGAGTTGGGAAGAACAGTGGTGCACCAAACACCTATTGGGCAGGATATGTTGTTTGGCAGCTCGCTGGAAGATGTCCTATACAGCCGTTATGGACTTCTCTGCAGCACGCAGTCCGAAATACAGTCTGCAATAGACTTTATACATGTCGAGGAATCTCAAATCATTGATGCTTACACCATTTGCAAATACATAATGGAAGTCAACCTCCACTTGGAACATCGCAGCAACGAATTTGCCATCTGATACTTCATCTCCTCCCTTATACTCGAACTTGAACCACCTTCGCTCTTATGGGATTTACATCCTGACCATGCTCACGAACTCCTTACATGCAACATGTATTTCAAGGTTGAGCAGGTGAAGGACAGCACCCTACCTGGCTACCTGCTGCTCCCACTCATTCCAAAATACACTCAAATTTGGAACCTGTTCGTTGCAAATGCCACTTCCATTGTTCAATGCATCAGAGAAGAGTGGGGGCCATCCTTAGAGGATGTCATCCTCTCCGGAGGAATTCTCTGGTGTCTATGCAAACAAGAGCTGGCCAGCGATATACCCAACGAACCTTCACCTGACGTCCTCTATTTTGCAGATACATCTCAAGGCAGATCCCACACCTATCTCTTCGATACCCTGACTGAGCATGAGATTGAGATACTCTGCGGGATATATTACGTTGACACAGGTACACCTTCTCCTACTCCCATGATGCATCTGCATTAAAATCTCATTCACAAACAGACACAATCAAACTACTACATGGCATGGTGGCCAAGTCCTCAGTTGTGGGGATTCGTCAGGTTTGGACACAGGATACTGGATGCTTTCCTGCGAACAAATGTTCCAGGGTAGGTTGGAAAAAATACGGCCAAAGCTACGGCCTTGCTTACTACTAAGAAATGGAGGTCAGACCTGAAGTTCTACAAGCGCCAGACCAAGAAAATACATGTCCGCATTGAGAAATAATGTTGTCAACTGCTTAGCTGAATCACCATATGTATACCAACAGTAATTCTATCACTGAGCTGGCCTTAATGAATATATGTATCAATGGGCATTGCCACATTCCGTAGACTTTCTCAGCATTACCTTGCACATTATCAAAGTCTTTCATCGATGCAAATGCTGGTGTCTTATTTCAAACATAATTGTGAAATATCTAGTAGCGTTGGGTTCACCCAGGTGTTGAAAATGAAAGTGTAGATACCAGACAAAGCTCTCAATATGTGAAAACGCACAGTGCAGGGGGACACAGGGGTATAAAATACGCAAATATAATACCAAGTATCTACCTACAAGCGGGATGGACCTGCACAACTTTGAGGACATGATTTAGACATCAACTACGATTTGGGTGCTTCCAAGACTTTGAGGACATAATATATATTTCGACTACGATTTGGGGACTTCCAAGACTTTGAGGACATAATATATATTTTGAATACCACTTTGAGGACTTCCAAGACTTTGAAAACATGGTTTAGATTTCAACTACGACTTTGAGGACTTTGAGGACCTACTACATTTACGTTATGCTTACCAAGTTTCTAGCTACGAGTGGAATTCCTATCATAAAACACTTCTGACATCCTCAGCCGTCCACTCCTGATTGAAGCCCACAGTGGTGCGGAGTTCTTATGAAAAAATATTACATAAATTCTAGTCTGACGCTGTTAAACTGCAATTGAATTCACTTAAGACTCTCATCTCATCCTAAACTCGACGCATTAACTACCCTCTCCCAACTCGTTCCAAAAACACGTCTGACATTATCTTAATGAGGAAATTCCTCGTTGAAACAACATGGTACAGCTTGAGCAAACTGAGAAGAAGCCAAGGCTTCAACACTCCAATCTCGCCAATTCAGCCTTAACTCCCAAGGAAAAGCGACGCGAATGGCAAAAAAGATGGCTCGCCAATGAGAAATGCGATCCACACAGGGCTCAAGAGATGAAGGAACAGAACACCACCAACAACAGGCATGGCAAAAATGCAAGAGAGAGGAAATGCAGAGCAAACAGCACACACCTGACACAAACTCCCAAGGCCATGCCCCTCAAAAGCAGCCTCGGACCTCATCTCCTGAAGCGCCTTCGGGTCATGTGGGCCCATCCATCTCAGAACCCGACACCATCCCCATCGGCCCCATCCTCCTGGCACAGGAGACCCTCACAACCATTGTGACACCCCACCCAATGCGTGACATTGCCGTCATGACAGACACGCCCAGCCCTCCCATCAATTGTTCCTCCATTCCAGATGACCAAGCATACCCCTCACCCACCTTGTCTGCACTCACCAACCTAGAGTTCTGTGATCTGGCAAATCCTATCATTGGCTCCCAAGTCCATGAACAATCAGATACCATTCAATGGGACGATGGATCTACCACTGCTTCCATGCATCATGAAGAACGGCATAAATATATGCAAAGAAGACGCCCTTGCAGTATCGTTTTGTGCTTCACTCCCAGAATCGCTTCCTGTGACCTCAAGAAATGTCATCCACTTACAGCATAGCGATTGGCGCTTTACAAGCCGACAGTTATGCAACGAGATATTTGCAGCGCTTCACATCAACAAAGCCATTGTCATTCGGCAAGTGAGCACACCCGAGCCTGCAACACTTGATTTAGAGTACCTGGAAGATTGTGGAATGTCAGACCTCATGCGTGTTGTAGTACGTGGTAAGTCTGTCGACATCCATCTTGTTTCTCACCTAATGTAATGCTGCTAAACAGACGCTGAACAATGCACGAAGGATTTTCCGTATCCCCACCAGAACGCAACGCTTGCAGAATTCATACGCAACATACACGACCCCAACAAGATACAATGTATACTTGATGTTCCATATGGACAGGGCGGTCTCCTGTCATATCTGAGGTGCGTACTGTACCATTGCACGCCGTTACAATACTAACCCGTCCACGCCTAGTACTCTCGACAGTGGCATTACCAACGGATGGAATCAAACCACAGTCAATGGCCCCATCGGTGACAAAGTCCATCCAGACAACTTCATCGTACATTCATGGTCCTTGCTCCACAGGCCCGCATATTGGACAAATTCCCACCACGACTCTGATGGCAGCGTGACCTTTGTTCAAATTGACACTGGCGAGAAAAAATGAGGCCTATTAGTGACTAGAACGACATGTTTCAATCATACCAATTTCCCACGGCCTAGTGCTCTTCCATCCATGCTCTTCTATTCAAAACACTCTGATGTTTGTCAGCACAACCCTTTGCTTGGTAATTGTCATATACCATATTCCCGGGTACAGATCTGAAGATCCGGATCTCAGATCCGATCCAGATCCGATGGACATATCCGTCGTCCAGTCCACAGATCCGATCTAATCCTTGTTTCATGTCCTGTTCATATAACTCTAACTATCGTTCATCTCCTTTCGGCATTCCTATACACCGGTATACCGGTTATCCTCTACTTCCGTTATGCTTACTGATCCGCTACACTTACTGATCCGCTTTAGCTTAGACTTCATTCCCAGTTATGATTCGTTATCCATCCAACTTACCGATATGCTGTACACATACTTTGCTTATACTTCGTACATAGCCTCGCGTCCTTGCTTATTGATCATTCCGTTAGTTATCCATAGTATATAAACCCTTGTACATGCGCTGTAGTAGATCAGTTCGAATATCATCTTAGACTGCACTCATTCTGTCTGGACTCTAAGTCCATCCGTTATCCGTCCGGACTTGAGTACGATACTCTTGTCTACTCCGAGACTTAGGATTGATTCCTATAGTCTATATATCTGTCTCTGTCTTTGGACAGGTCCTCGCCCGTTAGTTTCTAGTTCGGATCTGATCCGGATTAGCCGTTACTCTATACGTTCGATATCCAGAAGCCTTAACAGATCCATTACGATACTTATCCGTCTCACTAGACGCGATACTCTAGCACTCTGAAATAAGGGGCAAGACTCGGGAAAGGGGCACAGCGCACGAGCTGAGGCCGAAGCCCTTCGGATCCGATACTACTTGAGTACGGTCTTAACAGTAATTCGAAGCAGATTCTTGTGGCCAACATCTCTGCAGTCTCTAAGCTTAATGTCTAAAGTCTCAGAAGTCGCTAAAGCTGCCAAAATCGCCAGTCTGGTCTCCCAAGGTGCCACAGTGGACTCGAACCTCCCATGCCATCATACATCGTCAATGCTGCTGTTTCATGTCCGCACTCATACTCTCATCAAACAGTCAGTATTACTTGCTCCTCAGTAGACACGGAATGCATAGATTAATCACTCAATCAGGTATCAAACCCATATGCACGCCAAGAACAAAGACCCTTCTTAATGTCTTCTTGTCCCTGATCGAACATGATCATTCAGGCTGACATCTAACACCATCGGTCTCAACTTTCGTCCTCAAACTCCAGAGGTCCATCTAACACCAGTTTTCATGTCCACATCCTATGCCTGTCAAACATCAACATATCACACCCGCAGGGGTCATTTCTGAGAGGCGGTTCAGCTAAATGTCGTGAACTTACAAATGTCAATGAAGAAGTAGTTCCGCTTCATAATATCAAAGCAGAGGTAGATCTTATCTGGTGAATCTTAATTCCAAGTCACGAATACAAGCCAACCATAATCGCGTGTGGGGTAAATTATAGGAGAAAACGCACCAATACAGAATGAAGCTGAAACCATCAGTGCCTAGGCAACCTTGAAATCATTCTTAAATTCCTAAGCAACTCACTCGTCGTGACGCCACACCCTTCTTGTTCACCAAATCCTCCAACCCACAAATGTAAGTCCAACCCATTGAGTCTTTTGCCTTCACTTGATTGCACAGGATGTCCTCTAACTCCAGAATTCCTCAAGACAACTCAAAGCGCAAGCACGAGCATGAACATTGGGATGACCCCTCAGTATTGCAAGTGAATATATACCATCACCAAACTCATACACAACATTTTCCCATTTCTTGACAAAGCCTCTGTGACGCATTTATTTCTGTGTCCAAATGGCACGATGTCATTGCTGATTGCGATGTGTTGATCCTCATTGACTTTGTCTCTGTTCAGTCTGATCAAGAGCCTCTTCTCAAAGCCCTCCTCGAAGAAGTTGAGGACTGGCTTGAAAATGTATGCTTATGCTCATCAATCGATGACCTCAATGCGACTTTCTTGAACCTGATAAACTCCACGACAGAGTAAATGAATTTTCTCGCTTCTTATTTACCTACCAGACCCAATGTTTTGGATGCCCAGACCCTCAGAGAACCGTTCATTTCTGGGTCTACATTCAGGCTACTGCTCGAGCAGTTCCGCATCAGACATTCAGAACACTTATTGTCCAAGGTACTCCAAGGCTTTGATTTGTGAACGTTCAACAGCACAGTTCAAGAGTCATTCGGTTCAAGAGATTTGACTAAATGGCAGCCCCATCGCATTTGAACTATTTTATGTTCGTGCTAAAACAGGACGACTGCAGCCCAGATTAGGTCAGTGTTCATTGTGTCACATTCTAGGGTTCTCATCAACTCCTGTTAGAATCCATCTACAAATGGCTCAAAGGGTTTCCTGCTACGTCGGATTGGCTTACGACCATTCATTACATCATTCCCCTCAATCATGCGTCAAACTGAGCCTTCCCCTCGTTGGACCCCCTGTCATCTCCTCTACAACACCTCCATAGCGGTCCTCAACCAGATCCCTTCATCGTACGAACACTGTTTTCCTTGTCAACTGCATGCTCACATTTACTGCAGGCAAAACGTTAGATCGCCCCTTCCTCTCAATCCTCCTAGTTTACTAGTTGTTGCAGGTTCATGTCACACATTTTTTTTTGGTAATCCGGCATTGCTTGCATTCACTTAGAGGTCAATGTACTAAAGACTTTTTCAGCAGTGTACGACTCTACACGTATTCGCTGATTGCAGAGGTTATCCTAGAAGTAGATCATGCTCAACCATTTGCACAAACACTATGGAGAAAGAAACTGACACATTCGACTGCTTCATTCATTTCAGACCGCACTCGCTCAAATATTTCTGGTATGAGACTTCCTCACATTTGCATTCATTATCTTGCAGCAGTTTGCCCTACATATACTACATATACCACAGGTATACCCATTTCCCGGTTTCACCGTGTGACTTGTCTATGCAGCCCTACAATCGATCAAGCTACAGATAACACCATTGTTGTGACCATGGACGGCCGCAAAAACTCTGCGTCCCCATATCGCCTCACCCCCAAGTTTGCCTACTGTAATGCAGCAGTCCATCACCCTTGCCCCGCTTCCATGAACCCAATCAGTGGAAACCATGCTGGTACTCCTACATCAGGTAGCATGCTGTCACTGGTTTCCTGTGACCTCACTATTTTGATCCTGATCATCTGCTGATGTTCCGGTGTCAATTGGAACAAAGGCGGGCTAGCATGAGACCAAATGAGTGTAGGTTGGAATGGACAGCAACAGCGCATCCAGCAGTCGTGTTCTATTGTAGCTGTGTACATGTAATTCACATTTCCAATACAATTGTAACAGATCTGGTACAACCTAGAGTAACGAGAAAATATTGTATGCACACACATTTGCACATGTCCTAGTATCATTTTCTGGAGAGTTGATCTTGCTCAGCTCTGACAACTTTCACGGAACACCATCCATTCTCAGCACAGTTGGTTCTCAGCGTAGATTCGCGACTCCACATAATCATTATCTATAGCACGTTGAACTACAGACCACCGAAATGGAATATCCACATTTGTGTGTGGAATTGTGGATCAACAATATTACCATTTGTGGCACCTCAACATTACTCACACTCCGCTTGCCTTAATTACTCAATCCTTGACTTAAACTCTTCTTCACTTGTTTTTTTTTTTTTAATTCCGATTTCATGTCCTATGGAGAGATGTACTCTAAGGAGGACAATCCTATCTAGTCTAGGGGACCCCCAGTGTACCCATTGCATCTCTGGGCGTGTGAATGCCCTGATGTGAGGCATACCCCCATCAGTCTGCTGTTCCCACCGGCCGTTTTAGATGCACCGCCCATTGAGGATGAAATGACTGTGATATAAACTCAATCTATGTGAATGCTGTCATTTTTACAATATGATAATGCGTACTCGGCTGCTTATGCAGACAGGTACAGGAGTTAGGTAGGAAGTGTTTGGGACAGTTTGTTTGGCTTGATCCTCAGGGTGATCTGAGGACCTGCTGTTCCGAATTGGATGTTCTGTTAGGGCCGAAGAGGCGCTGGTGGCTCTGTGTAGATGAGTAGAATGAACGGGTGATAAGGGTGGGTATATGCTTGAGGGGCTTGAGGAGGTTGTCGTCACTTGTTCATCAACTACATTTAATCTCACCGTTGTCTTACTACTTAAGGGTCTTATATGGAACACGTATATAGTGACAACACAACTATACAGGATAAGACTACTTGCCAGTCCTTAAGTACACGGTCTACGACTTTTCTAGTTTTCGTGGTAGATAATGTGTGAGTTCTTGGGAGGATTTACTGACATGTCCTCTTCTTGTCTTTCTCGTGGTTTCAGTGATACAAAGTTTCTCAGTGTTATATAGTCAACCTCTAGTTTAGGTAGTATATAACTAATAGTAGAAGTGTCTTAGATCTTACTTCAAGGCAACCTATTTGGCCTGCACTTTCAGAATCTTACTGGGTCTCACATGGTTTGAGAGAAGAGTGGAAAGTGGGAAGTCTGATTACTAGGTGCAAGATGGGCTCCTTTTATACCTTTTTGGGGCCCCCCTTACTAAGCATGACTCATCACAACATTAGTAAGTCACTGGCTTACTAACCGTGCCATTTGGCAGTGCTGAATCAGCTGCTTATCAATTAATATACATAAATAGTAAATACTATTACAAAGCATGATAAATCATGACAAAGCATGACAAAGCATGACAAAGCATGACAAAGCCTGACAAATCATGACAATCCTTACAAATCAGCCTATTGCCAGTCACATGACATGCTTACAAACATATCTGATGGCTCACTGAAGGATCTGTGGCTGAAAGAAATGGAAACAGACAGAAACAAATGGAAACTGCATGACCAATCATGAAGGATCCTTACAAATCAGCATATTGCTAGTCACATGACACACTAAGTAACATATTTGTGGCTCACTGAGTAAATTGATGGTTGAATAAGCCTTAGAAATAGAAATAGAAAGAAACTGATGGAAACTAACAAACTGAAAATATAAGTACAAGTAAATCTGTCATAAAATGAAACCAAGCCTATAATACAAAGAAGTATACCTCAGTATACTCTCCTGTGATTACTTCCTGTCTATGTATGTCATCGTATGGTTCCCATACCATGCATGACACCGTAACTTCTCGTTGGAAATTCCAGCAAGTCGTTTCTCAGTGGTTTATATCTCTATGAACACGTGCTCAACAAGCACTCTGACTCTAAATACCTGCCCATCTGCATTTCAACACCTCACCAGTGCGCATCCAGCATGTTGTTGATATCCCTAACCACCTAAACTTCCCCTTGGAAATTTCAGCGAGTCTTCTCTCCGTGGTTCAGTCCCTCAACTTCTCAAACCATGCATTGCCTTACACCCTCTCCGACATGTCACATGCCTCGGTCCAACACTACCTCCTCAAGAAAGCCAAAGGCCACGAATTCCACACCTCATATACAGCCTGCAGCCATGTCTGTGACTTGAAAACCTCCAGTTGAAGATCATGCTCCCGGTGAGACAAATCCTCATCATCATTCACAACAACCTCATTTCCGTTCCTTGGACAATAACAAGGGATCAACATCCCTCAGAGCTTTGTCTTGGCCAGAGAACCCATGGGCAGATGTCAAGCAAATCACCACATGGCCAAAACGGGGCCCTGTTAAGACTGTAGCTCAAGGGTAGACGGATCCGAAGGGCTTGGCCTCAGCTCGTGCGCTGTGCCCCTTACCCGAGTACGTGCCTTTAATTTCAGAATGAAGTCCAGATGGAATCTGACGAAGTCCGAAGGACTTCCGGAGGCTGGCTACTCTGGTTGAGTGCTGGAGGACTTCCGGATGAGCGCGGGAAACTTTCGCATGAGTATAGGAAACTCTGGAAGAGTTTCACCCGCTGCATTAGATCCGAAGGTAAGCTCCCTAGATGGAAACACATAGAAGATAGGCTGCAAGGGACAGAGTCCAAAGCAGGATAGGATAGGAGAAGTGGTCCGAAGGACAGGACGTCCAGAGGTCCGAAGGTTAAGACGTCCGAAGGTTGCGTCGTCTGAAGGTTACGACGTCCGAAGGTTGCGACGTCCGAAGGTTACGACGTCCGGAGGACCGGAGGAGCGGACAGGATTCTAGAACAAGAGAAGAAGGGCTACAACGGACAAGGTCCGGAGTAGAAACAGACGGAGGTAGACTACACTATGGTAGAGTCGGATAGACGGGGTTTAGACAGAAATCTCGGAAAGACAGGAAGTGCTGGAAAGGCAAAGCTTCGGCTTAGGGAGTCAATCCCTAAGCATGGATATAGATGGAAGGATAAATCTGGAGGACCGGAAGGTTGGCCTAGGGAATCCTTCCCTAGGCCTAAGGAAAGGCAATACTAAGATGGACCGAAGTCCGAGATCAGAATGAGTGAAGTCTAGGATGCGAGAGAGCAAGTCTATGTTGAGCAGAATCTAAGATGATATTCGAACTAAGGAAACTTTACAGGAGTTGTACAGAGGTTTATATACTGGACGGGATCCGAGAGGATCAGTAAGCTGAAGACAAATGCTATGTACGAGCATGTGGAAACATATTGGTAAGTATGAACGGAACATAAACAAATGAACTTGGAGATGAACAAAGTACAAGGATCAATAAGCAAGACGGAAACACAGATAACCGAAGTCCGGAGTCAAGAGGATTACCATAAGGTACATAATAGACGCTGATTTAAGGTTTGAGCTTCGGATATGAGTATAGGTCGGATCCAGAGGTCTAGAGATATCGGATGAGGCGTCTGGATATCGGATGAGCGGATCCGGAGATCTAGGTGAAGACGAGACTAGGATATAGATCATGGATATCATCCGGTAGTCTAGGGAAGGTAAAGTCTCAGGTAGGATGAGCTCGGATCCGATGGGATCAAGGGTGGATGAAGCAGGCTTAGCTGCGGAGGTCCGAAGGTATTGATATATGGATGTACGAAGGTGTACGGATCCGAACCGATAGTGGACTGGAGGACTGCAGGCATGGATAAGGGTATGGAGTCATGGATAAGGGTATGGAGGTCCGGATGTGCATCCGGAAGGCGTGGGAACATCATCGGACGTAGGTCCAGAATACGGGATATGACAGGCCCTACATGTACATCAACCTAATATCTATTAACACTCGTCTGACTCCTTTACTCCAGTCGTTGACTATTGCAGCAAGCTGGGCCAATTCTGGCCGGATGGACAAGAGCCTCCCTTCAAAGGTCAGAAAGCCACAAAGCATATCTTTGTCACCAAAGGCAAAATGCAACCGCGCAAAGAGATCATCAAAAATTACGAAGAAATCAAAGAGCTGAAGAAATATGTGCCATCTGACATATTTCACCCACGAACAGGAGATATTGAACTCTACTACAACTACTCCGACTATGATGGTACTGACGAGGAGGATCTATTTGACATCGATGAGGATGACGCTATACCTCCCCCCGCAGTCGCTCCCATTCCTCCTCCTACCGTTGTCCCTGCTCCTCCGCGCGTTACTGTTCATGTACTGGTTGGAAAATGGGTCAATGCAGGAGACAGGAGCATTAGATCCAGAAGACCTTGATCTTCTATCGGAGATTATGGACATCCCAAGGAGGTATCCAGCATGCTACTGCCATCATCCGACGCCGTCAATGTACAGCAGATACTAAAATTCACACTGCTCGACATCGATGATGGGTCCTTCGCACAGGCCAGAGCATCATGCTTTGACAGTGCATGTCCGAACGAGAACCTGGACCTCCCACCATTTATACCTCCAAAACTGTGGGTTTATAGCCTTCGAGAGTCTCTCGACGATGCCATTCGTGAAGGAAAAAGGTTGATCATCCACCCCCAACTCAAAGATCAACCGTTGCCTCTTTGGATGTAAGCTACACGTGGTGCGTGGATGCCAAAATGTCGTGGCGAAATGCAGATAGGTGTTGGAGCAAAAAATGTACGACTGCAATATGAATCCTCTATCTGCCTACCAAGAGATGTATTGTCTACCATACCACAAGAAGTTGGCTGGGCAAGGCTCAACCAGCCTAAGAAGTACATCACAGCTTGCACGATTCTTGTCAGATGACGCTTGGTTGTCGGATTCTCTCGTGGACATGATGATACACTCCACTATCCGACAATTAGTCCCCAACCAGTCCAACCTTGTTATCACTGACAATGAGCTCGCAGATGCGATCTGCATGGCTAAACCGAACTTTGGTTCGTTGCCAAATGCATTCAAGAAGTTAGAGCAGACACTCGCCGAAGGAAAGGTTCTCTTTTTCCCAGTGTGCATCCCTGGAATGTCCCACTTTGTTGCGTTTCACATTGATTTTAAATGTAAAACCTTGCGCTATGGTAGGACATTTCCCTAACTGGTAAGATGCAAACTGATTTTAACACAGGAGACTCTTTGAATCTCTGAGGGGAACTCAGAAGCTTCATTCAGAAGTTACAGCGGTGGCTCACCGTGCGTTTTCATGGGCCATAGGAAATACCCTCGCACATGGCATTCAGCAAGATTCAATTTCTTGCGGACTGTTTTGCATTAATACCATTGCTCATAATGTCTTTGGCAATCCCCTCGGTGTCCCTGACCCTGCGCGTGCACGAGCGAAATGGTTTCAGTGGATCGCTTACAAGTATATTACCGTGGTGCCACAAGAAGAAATTCCTACCATTTCTATGTCTGATATGGTAGTAGGTCCCCCTCCTCCTCCTTCGACGTCACCAGGCGGGCTGCCACAGTGTCAAACTGAAACGGAGCAGCAAAAGAAGGAAAAGAGGAAGCAGCTGATACCAATATTCAAGGAGAAAGCTGATGCACGAGCAGCCAATGTTGCGCGGGACAAGAAAGAGAAGGAGATGGAGGAGCAGAAGGAGATCAAGAGGCAGAAGGAAGTCGAGAGGCAGCTCGAGATTGAAAGGCACAAGCAGCTCGAGATCGAGAGGCAGATGGAAGTTGAGAGGCAGAAGCAGCTTGAGATCGAAAGGCAGATGGAAGTCGAGAGGCAGCTCGAGATCAAAAGGCAGCAGGAAGCCGACAGGCAGAGGGAGCTTGAGATCAAGAGGCAGCAGGACCTCGAGATTGAAAGGCAGAAGGAAGCCGACAGGCAGAGAGAACTTGAACACCAAAAACGGGTACAGAAGGTGGATTCAGGTGGTCAAGTTATCACGGACGACAGCATGGACATTGACATCGAGCCAGGCGAAGTGACCTCTGGGTCACACGCACCATCTCCAACCAAGGGCAAGATGGACACAGTCAATCGCCGAGATTGTTCTCCTCGTCACCCACATGCACCCTTTGTTCCAAACCGTTCACATCGTTCATTGTCTCCTCCTCCCCATGAATTGTCATACCATGCATCTCGCCGAGAACTGTCTCCACCCGTTGACCATCATCATATAGAGATTACGCTCCGTCTCAGTCTGACCGTTGTGCGCCTCCTCGTTGTTACCGATCACCTCTCCAAGAACATTCAACTCGCTGGGTAGAGCTCAGAGAGTCACAGACAGTCCAACCGTCAACACAGTCCTGTCCAGAGAAGTTATTGCAGTACATTTGCTTTCCCTCAAAACAGGCAGCTTGTCATAACAATTTTTTCTTATCACAGTGCCTTTTCCTCATCGTGGGTGTCATATACCATATATCCGGTTACAGATCCGATGATCCGGATCTCAGATCCGATCCAGATCCGATGAACATATCTGTCGTCCGGTCCACAGATCCGCTTTGATTCTTATTTCATTTCCTGTTCATATAACTCTAACTATCGTTCATCTCCTTTCGGTATTCCTGTACACCAGTATACCGGTTATCCTTTACTTCCGCTTTGCTTACTGATCCGCTACACTTACGAATCCGCTTTTACTTGTACTTCATTCCCGGTTCATGATTCGTGATCCATCCGACTTACCAATACGCTCCACTTAGACTTTGCTTATACTTTTGTTCATAGCCTCGCACCTTTGCTTATTGATCATTCCGTTAGCCATCCGTAGTATATAAACCTTTGTATATGCGCTGTAGTAGATCAGTTTGAATATCATCTTAGATTGCACTCATTCCGTCTGGACTCTAAGTCCCCCTGTTATCCGTCCGGACTTGAGTACGCTACTCTTGTCTACTCCGAGACTTAGGATAGATTCCTATAGTCTACATATCCGCCTCTGTCATTCGGACAGTCCTCACCCGTTAGTTTCTAGTCCGGATCCGATCCGGATTAGCCGTTACTCTATACGTTCGATATCCGGAAGTCTTAACGGATCCGTTGCGATACAAGACTTATCCGTTACAATACTTATCCGTCTCACTAGACACGATACTTTAGCTCTCTGAAATAAGGGGCAAGACTCGGGAAAGGGGCACAGCGCACGAGCTGAGGCCGAAGCCCTTCGGATCCGATACTACTTGAGTATGGTCTTAACAGTGGGCCACAAACAAACCAGCGCCGTGAGTACATACTATCATTACTCTGAATCCTGAACTTATTTTTATATTTATAGCTCTTGATTCATGCCACCCTTTGTATCCTACACAAGCACCTTCCACCAACGTACCTGCTGCACTGTCATCAATTCCTGGCACTTTGTCTCTCCCAATGGGATATCTACAGTTCTTGCCCTCTTCTACTGTAACAAGTGTCGCAGGGTTGAACATGATGGGCTGCCGTCCTGCCAATAACACAGTAACCCGCTTCATCTTAGATCGAACAAACTGCCTCACACAGTACGATGACCTCAATCCACTTTCCCTGTTGTTGCATAGCGACCCTCAAAATCACCCTCTCCACATCACTTATTACCCTCCATATCACCTCCTCCATGCCATATCTCGTGGTAGGTTGGTTGTATCCAAGAGGACTGAAATAAGACTGTGTCTATTGAGAGCGCAATATCCGGATGTCCCCCTGTGGTTTTTCGCAATTCATTGTCTCTCCTGCAGAATGGATTGGCAGGTCTTTGCCAATCCCCAGCACCTCGTCGGCCCACTGATTACCCTCTCAGGTCGACGTCCTGCCTATCTGGACCAAAAACCTCTCTTGCTCACAAGGGGCAATGGAGAGTTTGAGTGGTATGAAAACAGCGTCAGGGATATGCTCCGACTCCCATTCAGCTGCCATTTCTGTGGTATGGGCGGTCTCCTGTGGCAACTTGTAATCCAATTTGGACCAGACAACCTAATTTTGGCTGCCCTGTCTGGACCTTCAAGTGACACTTCTATGCACTTGAACGTCGAGCATATCGGCACCAATGTTAACGACATGGTAACGGACGCCCACATCAATACCCTATTAGGCCTAACAGACAACAACCATATCTTATGGCCTCCCATTGATGTATTTGACAAGTACATGCAGTGGCAAGGAGAATGGATGGCAAGCCTGGAGACATGGTTCATGAGGCACATTTCCGCGATAAAAAATAGGGATTCGCACACATTTACCACCCATAGTCAATGGATATTGAGACTTGGCCAGCATACAGCAACTTCATTCAAAGACACCAAGGTTGTAACTGAGGGGCAAGCAGAGTTGTTGTGCTTCGACATTGATCGGTTGGATCCAAGATCTTTCGCAGCTTTAGATTAGCTTGGGTCATTGTCATTTTATTTGGTTTACAGAAATCACTCATTATACCCATGCCACACATCTAGCAACGGAATGTACTTTTACTTACTCATACTTCTTGTACAATTATTGGGTTGAGGAATTCAAACTTCAAGAACAGAACAGTATTTGCAGATCGCTACACGGTCTTCCTCCAGTTAATTCCTGTATACAGGCGAAGATCAGGGAGAACACATTGGTGTCCTAGTTTGAAAGTTTGTTTTGGAGGACTGAGACAAGTTGTTCAAAACCCATGCCTGTATCAACATGCTTGCTTGAGCCACTCCCAAACAAGCATGTTGATACCGGCATGGGTTTTGAACAACTTGTCTCAGTCCTCCAAAACAAACTTTCAAACTAGGACACCAATGTGTTCTCCCTGATCTTCGCCTGTATACAGGAATTAACTGGAGGAAGACTGTGTAGCGATCATTATTGTACATGAATAAATATCAGATACTAGTAATGGTAATTCGGTTGTGACTACTTCAGCGACTTGTAAGACATAGATTTGGAAGTTCCACTTCAGTGATTTCTGAGACATAGATTTGGACGTTCGACTTTGTGGACTTATAAGGTTCTGTCTGGACACGAATTTCACTTGATAAATTCAAATCGAAATTCACCTTTGGCGTCATGTAACTCTGCTCCCACGACCTTCGGAAGTCACCTGGGCATATGCTCCGCTATCATGATAACCAGGGATATATGATATCCGTCCAGCGCACTGACTCAGTACAACACCCATAATGGACATCTCACAACAGCGATGGCATGCAGATGTCTGTTGACACTGACTTACTTTCATCTTCATGTGCATTGCTACACAAGTTGTGTATCTGTACCAATTATTATTCCTATCTACAAAACACATGTATTCCATACCACACATCAGCCTTGACTGGTGAAGCATGGGTTTATGAGCTTATGACAGGTCACCCTGATAGAATCCGCCACAATCTTGGGTTTAACCTTGAAGTCTTTGAAGTGCTAGTGAAGATTTTGCAACAAAATGGTATCCAAGTGTCTTGCAACAGCATATCAGTAGAGGAACAACTGGCAATTTTTTTGTATGCCTGTGTAACTGGGCTTTCGACTCGCCATCTCAGTGAGTGAATTCAGTGTTCCCCTGATACCATTGCCAGGTGGGTACTCAGCCTTTGTCTGAGTCATATCAATATCCTACTGAATTATGTTGTGCTAGGTACTTGAAGCACTTACTTAACTTTTTCTCGGATGACCTATTCTATCCCTCGCAAGTCCACTTACCCACGATTGAGACTCCCCTATCCTCCAAAATTCTGGACGACCCTCAATTTCACTTCTTTGATGAATGTATCGGTGCCATAGATGGCACACACATCTGAGTCTTTGCCTCAGTCAACCAGCATGCCATCATGCGCAACCGCAAAGGATTTTTATCCCAAAACTGTCTCTGCGTGTGACCATGATTTTTTATTTATATACTCACTTTGCGGCTGGGATGGCTCTGTTGCCGATGGTGCACTCTAGAATGATGCACGCGCCCATGATTTTGCCTTGCCCCCAGGCAGATATCTACTTGCGGATGCTGGCTTTGGGACATGTGATGCACTGTTAGTGCCATACTGTGGTGTCTGTTACCACCTGAATGAGTGGTGTCAGGCCAATCAGCAGTAATTTTTTTTTTTTCATTTCAATACTTTATTTTCTAACACATGTCTAGGCCGCGGACCCCAGAGGAGTTATTCAACCACCAACATGCATCTCTTCGCAACATCATTGAATGCATCTTCGGAGTGATGAAGCGCCAATGGCACATTCTTCAGGTGCCGCCGGAGTATCATATGGACATCCAAGCATGTGTCCCTAATGTGCTCTGTGCTTTGCACAACTTTGTTTGCAGATATGACCCCGACATTTTTGACGAAGAAGCTGATGATCTGTTGGAATATGACTCTGAGGGAGGAGGGGGTGAGCTGAATGAGCTTGGTGATGGTCCGGCAGATACTTCGGAGAGGCAGAGAGCTGATAATCGTTGTGATCGGATTGCTAGGGAGATGTGGGAAGATTATCTTGCAGTGCGTGCGGCACGAGGTGACCCAGTTAATTGAAGTTATACTACTAGTTTGTGCGCTCTGTATCTCGACAATCAATTCAATTGTTTGCATGTATCATAGTGTTTGACAAGTATGTGAAAGAAGTATACGAAGCAAGTTAATCAACAGTATCGATGTGCATGGCACGAGTTTCACCGAGCCTCCTCTTCACCCAATTGGCCCTCAGATTGTCGCCCTTCAAGTATAAAAACACCGTGGCCTGATCTTTGTCCCTCACAAACAACTGTGTCATGTCCAACTTGTCATCATCAGACATGTATGTGGCATCACTGATGACTTCAATGGCACATACAAAGTCAGAAGCAGGTGCAACAGGGGCCGCAAGAACTGGGGGTACACTAAGATGCTTGCTCACAGCCTCCATTGCAGTAACAAGCGATGTCATTGCTGCACTACCCTCCAGCTGAGCTCTGGCAGTTGCAGATGGTGGGCGAGAGCGCTTTCCCAATGGAGCATTGCCATCAGAACCCAGTGCACTGGCCTTGCACTTGTTAATGCTGAGTGTGGACTTGTCAATGGGCGAGAGCGCTTTCCCGATGGAGCATTGACATCAGAACCCAGTGTGCTGGCCTTGTGCTTGCCCTGGCTGGCACTTGTCAACGCTGAGGGTGGGCTTGTCGAAGGAATGCATGATGACATGGTGGGAGGATATGTGGAAGTAGATGATGCAGGAAGACAGCCCATGTCTGCAGAAATCTCATCGGTGGCTATAGATAGCTCACAGAGGTGGAGTTCTGCAGGAGGATGAGTGCTAGTGGAAGGTATCATGGAAGGTGGGGGCATGCTGGTAGTAGATGCGGTAGAGCCGGTGCGATTTTTTTTCTGACGGCAACGGATGTGAATTCCTTTGTCTTTTATGCCGGCTGTCAGCAAGTCAAAGATCTCGAAATGTTCGAATCCTTTGTTCTTGAATTGTCTGGCATTTGGATTTGACTTGAAAAAACAGATTAGGATCCAGAGCAGTGATGGGGAGCACAGTACTCACTTTGACATATCCAGCCCAAGCACTAGTGGTGTCCTTATCTATGGTTGCCCCCCCGCTTCTGTCCATGTGAATCCTGATGACGATCCACCAACTTTGAGTGCTTGAGCGGCGAGATAAGCCTTCTTGAGAGCTGAAAACTTTGACTTGCAGGCTGGAATTGTTTTGTCCCCACCCTTCTGGTTTTTGAAGTGCTTTGCAAGGTGCGCAGAAGCTTCTGTATAGGTTCTCTTGGGGAAGGTGGTGCCATCTGTGCCAGACCTGTTATAATAGAGGTATCTAAGGAAGGCAGTCTCCTCTTCCAGTCTCCAATAAGCGGTCTCTTTACGGCCAGATACAGATTGCAGTCAAGGCTCTGTGGCACCACAGGTGGAGTCTCCAGAGTAATGAGAGCGAAGAGAGTGACGAGAGTGGTTAGAATCCGACATATAGTCCATGCATATGATGGTAGTATGATAACGAGTGCCAATCTCATTCTGAAGGTCATGGGAGCAGAGTCACATGACGCCGAAGGTGAATTTCGATTTGAATTTCTCAAGTGAAATTTGTGTCCAGACAGAACCTAGGGCGTCAATTTGGAAAAAGTCTCAAGACAAAACTGCATACCATGAAGCGATAATCCTTTGATCGAATGTATTGTGCAAATTCCATATCTTAAGGACATTTGGGTCGTCACCATCCTGAGGCCCATGCACTCAAATGCTGAACGGTGCTGATACTGTTTCTGCGGATGTGACTGCCTGAATCAGTGGTGGACCAAAGTTAAAAACTGATAGTATGGTTCTCGACCACTTCTGACTTAATGCTTTAACACATCAACATCGACGTTCGACCAGATCACTAGTCTGTAATTCAGACTAGTCATCCTTCCCGAAAGACAACCTGGCTGTAGACACTTTCCCTCCTCATGGCGTGCACTTGAACCCGATTCTCGACCCTCTGCTACTCACTCTCTCTCTCTCAACACTCCTGTGCATATCCCTGCAGGACATGGTGTCCATAAATTCAATTGCATGGGCTCTCCTTGCCATAGAACTGCAATGCTAGCTGAACAGCTGGTACTGTAATGCACATCTCAGACTTTCTTGCAACTACTGTGCCATAAATTTCAAATATGTCCATGCCCCTCGGACTTTGCTTGTTTGGACAGCAATCCTTCTACTGTCATGATAGAAGCACTCATATCCACCAAGTTGGTACTGAAATGTTGACATGTGTGTATATGTTCATATACAGATGTTGAGAATCCTCAATCAATGCCTTCCATGTCACAGTGCCTTGCTGTCCACCTCTCTTAAGAGTTCTGGACATTAGATTCACAGTATACATTGTTCCTCCGCTCACCAGTCGCAAATGCTTCGCCTCCATGACGACATCCTACTCGAAATCTTCAAGTACGCCTATGAGCAACTGCGAGATGAGCTACTTCAGTGACTTCATCCCTCTTGATACCGTCAATAAAACCTTTTTTTCACATCTCAATCCTGCCATTGTGGAGGAAGCTACCATCTGTAGAGCCCCTGCTACACCTCATACCCGAGCATGTCTTGCAAAAAACGGTTGATTGAGAACCAGTGGTCATATGTAGGTCAAGCCTTTTGTATCTAATTTTGATCAATGTTGACGCCGCCTCAGACATTGTGTGATGATCTCCCACAGAAAGATCTCATTCCTCTCTACCTATGTGCGCTGTATATACACGAAATTCACTCCCGTGGTCTTAGCCTGACCTACAGCCGCCGGCAAAGACAAGAAAGCTTCTCAAAAATATGCATGTATTGCTTCACAACAGTTTGACAATCATTGAACTCCCATACTATGCTGTTGATTTGGAGGCTGTTGCTTTTGCTCTTCTTGCGGCACCCTCTCACCTTCAAACTCTTGTTTACATTGATGACTCAGACAACACAGAGTTTCTAGAATCTCTCCATCTGTTTCACTCGCTTCAGCATCTCACAGCCTTGCCTCTTCAACCCACTGCAATGGAAGTCATCACATCCTTGCTGTCTTTGGAGTCCTTAAGCGTGGTGGTATTCGACTCACTCAAGACACTACCATACAATGTCATTTCATTTGAAATCATGCTTTGGAGGCGTCAGCTCACCTCGGCGGAGTTGCGTTGGCAGATTTTATCACTTCCCTCGCACAAGAATTTGACATCACTAACCATCCCAACTTTCTGCTGTGACCTCCACCGCCATTCAGTCAGCGCAGACATTCACATGACACACAACAGAGACACGCTTCCAATCCACTTTTTGGAAGACCTATATAGCATCCCGATGGCACATGTCAACCTTGCGTGCTTCTCCATGTGTATAGGCTTAGTTAGTGGGTTAGTGTTTTAGTGAAAAACATATCAGCACATGGAATGAGACATGCAGACATGTGAACAACCCAATGTCATCCACAGTTTCAGCTACAGTGGAAATTGGAGATTGTCGAGCATCTTAAGACACTCGATATGGTGTTCTGTTCTGCTAACAACTTGCAGTGTCCAAGATTTGGGTCTTACAAAGGCACAACTTGGGATAGCTGGACGAGCAAAGGACCTAGGGAGTTTCATGGCATGTTCCATAAAGAAACAGCTCTTGGTGCACAACTGCGACGCAAACGGTGCAAGGAGACATCAAAGTCGAAGTCAAAAACCAGATGTGGCACCACTCAAATTTTGGACTTTAATTCCAGTGTCGAGGCCTATTTCTTCACAAAAAAATGTATTGGAAGTCCCAGGAGCACCTGAGGATACCACGTGACTCTCACACTGAAGACTTGTATCAAAAGAATACGTTGAACAGACAATGCATTAAAAAAACCATTGCTCTGCTTCATCCATAGTACGCAGGCTGGAACAGATATTCAGGGATGTCACACCACTTGCAGAAGAACATGATGATGAAGAGAAAGGAGTTTAAACAACACACCTATACCCTATCGCCTTTAACTATCCTTAGACTGACGCACGGACATCACATAACTGGTAAAAGTACATGGCAGTTCACAGTATGTTTTGTCTACCATAGTGCATCGCACCAACAGACAATAAACATTGCTAAAAAAAACCCTTATTAACAGCACATGACCCCTGTTTGTCCTTGTAGTGCCTGGCTAGACTCAGCATAGGACTTAGAGTCATGCATGCTCTATTGATGAAAATCGGGTTCCAACTTCCCTGGCCTGACAGCCAGGTCTTGACTTCCCTTGGCAGGAGAAGTGAAGGACAGCACGCACATGTCTGAATGACTCCAGCTCCCGCATCAACATTGTAGGGAGGTGGCTGCAAAAGCAGGCAACATATCATTCATTGGGAAACACAAGACCACCATGGCCTCAGTGATAATTGGGCAACAATGCCTCGCCTAAAAAACAATCAAACAAATGAATACATGAACACAGGTAGCCAGTCATGTCTGCCTGGATTGCTGCCCCTTGACAAGAGAAGGTAACATGGTGCATAGATGACTGGATGACTCCATAGCACACTCCCTTGTAAGGGAAACACATTATTATGTAGTGATATTTTGCCCTCTTCAGCTGTAAACATTCTTGCTCATATAGGCGATGAAGAGGCATGGGGAATGTCTGTGGCCTATTGTGTAGAAAACCAGTCAGAAAATTGCAATGGAGAGAATCTTGCCCTGATGTTCATATTCCAGGCCTGCATTGCACTCTCCCTGGATATGCATTCATCATAACTGTCTCCCAGGATAGTCCTGCCATTGTCAATGTAATTCTGGGGCTGCGTCCTCTCTGATTCTCCAACAACTGGATCACAGGTGTAGCCATAAACAACATCCCTGCCACTGTATATGCTGCAATGGGATGCTCATTGAAAGGCTGCATGGGGAATGTATAACACATATACTGCACGATTCTCTGCACTGGTGAGGTCCCATGGCTTCTGGAGTTGGGAGCTGAATTCCTTTTCTCATGTCTCAAACCCAGTGTAAAGTTGGTCTCCTGGGCCACTGAGGTCAAGGCAGGGGGCACATCCAGAATGAATAACATTCCCCTTGAATATGAGAAAGACAACTAGGGTGTTTATTTCCCGGATATAAAGGCCTGGGTGACCCAAGCAAAATGCACCTGGATCACTGCCTAGTGCAGGGAATAATGGGTTAGCTGAATGTGTAAGACAGTATGAGCACAAACCTGGTGGAATCTGCAACAGTATAGTCACCAGAGTATGAGTCATAGGATCATTCCCAGCATCTACATGCCAGGATCCCTGAGCACCACCAATGGCTTCTTCAAGAGCTCCTCCTGAATCTATTGATGAGAGATATTCAGCTGGCAGCCCACAGGGCCCACTCCTCCTCCTCCAAAAGTGAACACATTATTCTCTGCCATAACATACTCCAATACATCCCACTCATCTGCAGAGATGCTCAGTGGAAGAATGAGTGTGCCCTGTCCCTGCCCCTTTAGGACAGTACTAGCAAGATTGTAAGAACCTTCATATGAGCCTTCCTGGGGTCTTGATGACCTGTCATTGCGCTTAAACTCAGGCAACTTATAGACTGCAGGAGTGCTAGGTGCCTGGCCTTTGTCCCCCCATGTTAGCAGTTGTAGTTCATCCACAAGCTGGTATATAACAGCATGCTCTGGATAGGTCTGGAGAGATTCCAGGGTATGAGCACAGCCCACAGTAACAATCTTTCCAGGGTCCCATAGACCTCATAAATATAGGGAACACCCAGTACCATTTTCACCATTCCAGGAACTGGCTCCAGGGCAGCATTGCCATCAACAAATTGGGGCTGAGTGATGTTTGGTGGTGTGGTGATTTTACAGTACCAGTCTTAGAGGTGTGGTGCATCACGAGGATGGTAGGCTGCAGCATACCCGTAGTGGCACTGAAATCGATTATCAGGCAGTTGGTTTAGTGAATATGGTGGGGCCTGTAGATAGCATCACATGTCAGGAGGGGTCCATGGTGTCAGGAGGTAGGACAGTGTCATCAGTAGGTTTACATTGGGATAACTGTAAACCTATGGGTCACTTTAATGGGTTGTCTGGATCCCATGGTAGGGGCAACAAGTTGCATGAGATTCCATACATCAGTACTGCCAGTTTATCTTCAGACATGGCATGCATATCTGGAAATTTGATGCTCCCTGCTCATTGGGAAAGTAAGATTAGTAGTAGCAGAGAGGTAGGGAATAGCACACACCCTCAACTTCAGCAACATTTCTTCTTTCAGCTCCTTGAGTTGTATCCGACATCTTTGAGTTTCTCCTGAAAGATGACTTCTCAGGGGTACAGGAGCAACAGAGGGATATCTAAACACACTGTTTTCAAATGCTTAGTTATTACTTTCTTAGGCCACCAGAAATACAATGGAGTTCAGAACAAGCCACAGCTAGGATCTGATTTGTTCTGCTGCCTGAAAAATATGTGTAAGGGTTCTGGTGATGATACAAGCCTAGTTCCATGACTGTGACACAATTTGCACTTTCAGTCAATTTGCGGTCATGTGACATTCTGCCTCTGTTGATACCTTTTGTTTTTTTTGTTCAACCACACTCTCTCAAATGCTAGTGATGTTGCACTGCCCCTACAAATCATGAAAGGAAACTGCTGATGTATATATATCTGACTAGGGCCAGAGGAATGCTAGGATGGCGGGGATGAAAGCGGTTTCCAACCTGCAAAGCCCACTACATCTGAAGTTCCCAACTACTGGAGTCTAGTCCAGTACAACATTTGAGTCAAGTGCAGACGGACTGCAGACAGTCACAGCCAGGAACTACATCACACCATGGATAATTTGAATTGTATTGCTATGATATATCAGTTGTTGAGATTCAATGGTAGGCACTCGCATGTGTGACAGTGCATCCACGACTCAACTCCCAAGGAAGATTTGAGTGCCTGAGTGGACAGCAAAGACCATGGAAGGTAGGTGCAATCTGCAAATGACCGCAGTAGCACTGCGCATCAACTTGGGCAATGTACCTGAAAATGGGACACATACCTACTGACTTCATCGTTCTTCAAACAAAAGGTCATCATTAACAATAAGCTCACCATTGTCGTAGTTGCTCCTGCATGTTCATGTTCCAGACTTGTGTTCTAAAGAAGTTTGCAAGTGAGTTTGCTTCAAGCAGAAGTAGATACTAGCGTATGAATAATGAGTGAGTATAAACGATGATACAGGAATGCAGATCGACGAACAAACCTACCTAATGACGATTTGAACGTCAGGGAAGTGAAAAAGTCACCATCCTCATTGTGATTTTTGGTATTTAGAGGTGGTAGTGGGACGGGGCAACTGAACCTGTGCAGAGTGATTTCACATGTATTAGTACAGTTAGGCGACAGCTGGCAAGGGCAGATGGCTCCACTACTGTTGTAGAAGCTTTAGGAGTGCAATCGAACAAGTAGCATGTCCGACAGGTATACTTGGAGCATAGCAGAATAGGCAGCAGCTGCTTGAGCAGCAAGCAAGTGCATTTGGCAGCAGCAGGACTAGCTCACATCTTTCTCTGCTCGATTTGTCAAACAAAGACTAATAAGAGTTAGGGTTACAGGAAGATGGAGGGGCACCATGCAGGCCCCATGAAAGTGCGCACCAGTGCAGAGGGTGGTGGCAGTACAGGAAGGCGTGCAAAAGAGCCGAGAAAAGACTGCTCGAGAGTCACAGTGACGGTTGATATATTTCAGAAGTTCTTGTCCACTTTGGGTAGACAGGCATATCAGGGAAGATCCAATCAGCAGATTTGAGAGTGCCAGGCTGGGCGCCGCCATGCCGGATGGTAGGTACAGCAGTACAGCCATTTAGGGTGTCTGAACCCCAGAACAGGGGACAAGAAGCTATCCAAAGGTCTGATACATCCACCTGGATGGTGGATAACTAGAACTGTGGATGTACACTATGCACAGCAAGAAAAGATGGGGCGACAAATGCAGGCTCATTCGTCTCCATATCACAATCGCACTTCTTTGGCGGAGGTGCAAGGAATAGCACCCAAATCGATGAATTTGTCCACCGAAAGCAAATCAGTGTTGTCCTCGCCCGCGCCCTCTTCATCTTCTTCCTTGTTCCGCGTCATTCTGCCCTTCGAGACAATTGGTTCTTGATAGACCGCCTGCATTTCCCTAGCATAAGCTTTGCAGTCTCAGCCCCTGTTTCCTTGGAAGTCCATATGATGGATGGGGCTTTTACATCTGAGACATCGATGATACCATCAAATGACATGAACTCACCTTCACGGAGTGCAGTTGCCTGTTCAGACGAAGCTATGATACGTAGGGCCTGAAGCTTGGAGGATCTTCAGCAGCTGGCCATGAAGCATTGCGAGAGAAACCCTGTTGGATGCGTATCAGGTATGGAACTGCAGAAGACTCCAGTATTGTGAATGTGATTGAGTAGCATGAGCAATTACATACCTCCATAGCCAATTTCTTAAGGATGTCTGGGGAAAAGCAGTGCAATGGTGGGATGATTTATGACAACTTGACGATGCTGCTAGTGTGTGTCGAATAAGAATAATGCACGGACACAAATGCCAGGCCCTGTAAATAATGTACTAATCAGTCACGCCACAAAAAAAGGTTGAAAGCCGATGGGACCCACACAACACTCAAGAGTCGAGAGCGATCAACATCATAAGTATGCATAGCGCTGAGACTGAACAAAATTGGACGCACTTCAGCAGGTCCACCAGGGTCGGATTTGAGAGTGCCAGGCTGGGTGCCGCCGTGCTGGACGGTATGTACAACAGTACAGCCATTTACGGTATCCGACCGGGCGAGAAGCTATCCAAAGGTCTGATACATCCACCTGGATGGTAATAGAACTGCGGATGTATCGGAGTTTTGGACTTATAGTCCAATTTGAATGTATCAAAGTAGCCATATGGGCTGGTGTGTCAGCGCTTCAGTGGCGCTACAATGGTTTTTCAGGACTACTTATCCTTTGACAAGTTTGCTGAAGTATATGAGTCACATGATGCAAGCCACATGGCACTTTTTCTGCGAGTGACATCATCACTCGAGGAAAGAGTGCCACATTTTCTCCATCATGTGACTTGGCGCTGGCACAATCTTGTCAATGTCAGAATATTAGGGCATACTATGCCTGCTCCACTTTCCTCAAAGTTCTCTCATATGGGCATCAGGTCTGGGACATTGACACATCTGGCACATCTGTTCGTATGGCACATCAGCCCACCTATACCCTACTATCCGTCATTCTCTGCACGCCGAGTACTCTGGCGTCCTGTGTCTACCTCCCAGATTGCACTCGTGTCCAATGAGGACTTTGGTGGAGGGAGTGGTAGTGAGCTATTACCAGCCTTCGGCAACAGTCCGAAACTTCAACGTCCATCAATGCCTCCAGTTCTATCACTAAAGACAAGGGGATCCTAAAGTTAACGGTGCAAAATCCAGATGCTATAGAGATATTGGATGCAAGGTGTGGCCGGATTGCTAAATGGACTGTTGAAGTGAGCATGACTGGTACGTGGCCAGATCACGTCAGGTCTCATTGAAGTTAATCACCTGTATGCCCTGCATCTGCAGGTGACTCGCATGCACTTTGGGTCCACCATGTATAACATTGACTCAAGTTGACTTACATAGATTTGTATGTCCTGTCATATCCCGTATTCCGGACCTACGTCCGATGATGTTCCCACGCCTTCCGGATGCCTTCCGGATGCCTTCCGGATGCCTTCTGGATGCCTTCCGGACGCACATCCGGACCTCCATACCCTTATCCATGCCTTTAGTCCTCCAGTCCGCTATCGGTTTGGATCCATACACCTTCGTACATCCATATATCCATACCTCTGGACCTCTGCAGCTAAGCCTGCTTCATCCACCCTTAATCCTATCGGATCCGAGCTCATTCAATCTCGGACTTTACCTTCCCTAGACTATCGGTCTATATCCATGATCCATATCCTAGTCTCATCTTCACCTAGATCTCCGGATCCGCTCATCCGATATCCAGATGCCTCATCCAATATCTCTAGACCTCCGGATCCGACCTATACTCATATCCGAAGCCCAAACCTTAAATCAGCATCTATCTCCTTATGGTAATCCCCTTGACTCCGGACTTCGGTTATCTGTGTTTCCGTCTTGCTTATTGATTCTTGTACTCTGTTCATCTCCGAGTTCATTTACTTATGTTCCATTCATACTTACTAATATGTTTCCACATGCTCGTACATAGCATTTGTGTTCAGCTTACCGATCCTCTCGGATCCCTTCCAGTATATAAAGATCTGTACAACTCCTGTAAAGTTTCCTTAGTTCAAATATCAACATAGACTTGCTCCCTTGCATCTTAGACTTCACTCATTCTGATCTCAGACTTTGGTCTATCTGAGTTCTGCCTTTCCATCAAAGGCCTAGGGATGGATTCCCTAGGCCGGAAATCCGGACCTTTGGATTTGTCCCCTATGTCTCTGTTCTGAAGTCTAGGGATTGATTCCCTAGACCGAAGTTTTGCCTTTCCGGCACTTCCTGTCTTTCCAAGACTTCTGTCTACTTCCTGTCAACTCCGTCTCTACTTAAGTGTAGTCTACCTCTGTTTATTTCTACCCCGGACCTTGTCCGTAGTAGCCTTTCCCCTCCTGTCCTAATCCTGTCCGCTCCTCCAGTCCTCATAAACCTTCGGACCTTCGGACCTCTGGACGTCCTGTCCTTCGGACCACTCCTCTTATCCTATCCTGCTTTGGACTCTGTCCCTTGCAGCCCATCCTCTATGTGTTTCTATCTAGGGAACTTACCTTGGGAAGTCTTACCTTTAGATCTAATACAGTGGATGAAACTCCTCCGGAGTTTCCTATACTCCTCCGGAAGTTTCTTGCACTCATCCAGAAGTCCTCTAGCACTCTACTAGAGTAGCCAGCCTCTGGAAGTCCTTTGGACTTCATCGGATTCCATCTGGACTTCATTCTGAAATTAAGGGCACGTACTCGGGTAAGGGGCACAGCGCATGAGCTGAGGCCAAGCCCTTCGGATCCGTCTACCCTTGAGCTACGGTCTTAACAGTCCTCTCGATGCCGTTCCACGCATATCACTCTTGGAATGTTGGCATCGATGAAGAGACCAATGGAACATTAGCTTTTGTCTCAGACAGGCAAGCCAGATTGGAAGTACCTTATGATTATATGTCCCCACTTTATGTCGCAGTTATTTTCTTATTTGTGAAGCAGTCACATTGATCTGAACAAAAGCTCAGTCCATGCTTGATGTGTTGTCCTTTGCAAGTGCTCGATCTCAACATCATAGCTCATTCTTGCCACCACAGATTTATGTCCAGGCCCTGCAAGAAAAAGATCCTCCAGTCATTGGTCGTGAGAAGCTGAAAACTTTTATCACTGACATTTTCCACAACTTTGCTGAGCTCCACTCACATCACTGGAAGCTCCTGTATCAACTGCACGATATACAGCGCGATGAGCATCCAGCGATCAGGAGTATTAGAGCACCTATATTTGACGCTGCTTTGAACCTCAGGGATACATACATGGAGTACATTCCCAACTACCCTATCACTGCCTATCATGTCACATCAATGACGAGATGGCTAACAACATTGATTTCAAGACATTTGTTGATGTGAGGCTTGCTCTTTTGCTTCACTTTACATTTCTATGCAATATATCTCACCTGTCTACAGGCCTCTGATCATTTGGGACACCTGCACTACTATAAATGCTGGCAATAAAAAGATAGGTCACATTTTAGATCCTGCTTTCCCTCTCTAAATTCTGTTGGTTGTGCAGGTCCAGGATGCCCTTTCTGGTGTGGAACGATGTGCTGATCCCTGATTGGCACTTTGAGACACCAAAGAGGCTGCCAAAAGCATGAATGAATCTACTGTCGGGGCCTGTGACATCTGGACTTTCCGCCGCACAACTTGACCTTGTCACAGGTGATTTGGGCAGCAACTGCTGATGCCGCAATGACTTTTGGTCTCTTTGACAGCCTCAGGTCCATCTCAGGGGGTAAACTTGCAGACTTTGTCATCTTTCCCCCTGGCTTTGACCTGTTTCAGGATGATATCCATTACATGGGGAATATCAGGTATGTCATCCATAGTGGGGTGGATATGGGATGCAGAAATTATGGAGGTGCGGCCCATCAACAGGAAGCAAGTTTTCTCACTTTCCAATGTGCGCTCACCTTGCCATTATCCAGGATGTTTTTGGATAAGACGCCTTCCTGCTTCCCTCATGCCCTGGATAAGCATGATTGTCTATTGCTCACAATATCTGCGATTAACCTGATTATTGTGATTCTCTTTATTATCCCCAATATCATTCCTCAATCTTTTCCACAGCGACAGCATTCTGTGTTAGGCTTGTCAAATGCCTCGTTTCTCACCATTGTACTTGCTTGCCATGTATGCTCCTATTCATGGGTTGTATTTCCTTTTGATGGTCTAGCTGCCTGCTGCTGATGCATGTGACAACAAAGCATTCTGTTGCTTGTGCGGTGTTCTTCTTCCTCTTGAACAACATTTTGCCTGCCCGTAGCGGCCTTCTGGCTGGTGCTGGCGCCATCATCTTGGGTGCCACGCTGGACAGATCAGTTGAAGATGTAGTCATACTGGAAGCCCTCACGAATGCAAAGGCCGGGAAACCGTGCTCACCCTGCACCACACAGGAACAAAAGATATGCAAGGGCTCATTGACCACTTTGTTCAGGACCTAGAGGAAAGCTTGCGTGTTGTTCTCCTACCCCCTCATTCTTCATCACCAAATCTATCTAGCACTGTTGAAGATGGCTCACACTATCCACACAGCTCCTTTTCCACTATGCCCACCCCCTTCCACCCAAAAGGACCTTTCCTCCAACCAAAGCCTTCCAGGAGGCCATTGAACTCCGGAATCACTTTCGTGCACCAGAAAAATTGATCACCAGAGCGGAGGATTCGCACATACCCCTGGGGTGGTATGAAGAGGGTGAATGCCAATGTGATTGCCAGTGTTCAGGACTTGGTGAGGCAGCTCTGATCTGAAGCATCCATGTGTTTTGAGGGCTATCTGTGATGCTGCTGCTTGATGAACCAGAGGAGATCTGTGTGTCGACTAAGACTATAGAGTCGTATTCGCTCATTACATTAGAAGGTGAGCAGGGGTATTTAACCTTGGATGACATTGAGCATGAGCCGGAACTAGGCTTGTGTTCGTACAATCTCTTAGTGAAGCCTGGCTCCTCGTGTGGAGCCTTTAATAGCTTCCTTGTGGGTTCCTGCTGGCGAGGAACGTGTCCAGACTGTTTTCTAGACTCAGTCCGCCCGTCCCATAGGGCGGTAGCCTAAGTCCACCTTTGCTGCATATGGACATGCAGACATTGTCGGGGCCTTGAAGACCTGGAGAGAGAAAAGCCTGAGGGACCAGAAGGAGATAATCAATGTGAGGTGTCAACAATGGCACTAACTTCTCTCCCAAGTACCTGGTGGGTAGCATCAGTAGCTTGGATAGATTCTAGTCACAATTCAAGCATCATATCCAGCACAGCTTATTCTGTATCTTCCAACTGCTATGTGATCAGCAGTCTAACACCTTCATCACAGGCAATAGATAGTAATATGATGTTATATTCCAAGTCAAACAAAGCAGCTGTCATGCACACAGGATGCATAAATGACATCTGAAGTCATGCTGATATGTGTTCTGATGGATTTTAACTTGTAGTGATGCTGAGCTCTTTCCCTACAGTTGAAGTTTAATCTGAAAAGACTGCACATCATGTATGCTGCATTTCATTGACATGGTGCAATAGGGGAGCTCACACCTGGGAGCTTACGGTTTATTCTTATCCGTGCTTATGCTTACACCCCCCAATACTATCTGATTTGTACATGGGTATAAACAAACCAAAATACATTACATATGCTGTCGCGTCCAGTATATTCGGTGAGTGCTGTGACCATCAATGTCGAGTGCTCTGCCAGTGGATTATTGATCATCCGAGTCTCATTAGTGTCATGAAAAAGAAGGACCTTCCACCCCCTCCTATTCCCGATGTCCACTGATCCGTGGATATGACATGGAACTTGCTGTCAGAGGTCGAGAAAGACGAGAACAGGCTTGTTTTACTGGGGAAGCGGGACAAGAAGGAAGTAAGTAATATTCACTTGTGGATCTCCTCAGCGCTGTCTCAGGATATTCTGGACAAGGTAAAGCAGCGCATCGTCTCCTGACTGGGATGAATTTGACAAAGATGATTCCTAAGTCCCCTGGCTGTATACCCTTCTAATTTTTCAACGCTCTTCAATACACTCATTCACCATGTGACTCCTTTTACCACTTGCTTTTATCACTTGCTTTACACTTGCTTTATGCTTTTATGGTTAATTTTAATGCTAGTTCACAGATGTTTAGATGAAGTTTACTTAGTTACATCTGTTGAAATGCTAGTAGTTCTTCGACCAGGAGCACCACAGCCTCTTTGGGGGATAATTCTGGATTTGCCAGGTTATGGAGAACCACTGTCAACATATATGCATGTAGATACTGCTCAGTGCTCATGGAGAGAAATTTGTGCCATCTTTGCTTACAAGTTGTTAATTGATAACAAGCAGTAACTTGGTACTGTGTATTATATAATCTGCATCTGCGCAAACTGGAGGGTTGTAAGCATAAGCACAGATAAGCATAAACTGTAAGCTCCCAGGTGTGAGCTCCCCTAATATGTGCATGGGACCTTCACAGTGATACATCTGCACCTGTGTCTTCACAGATGCACCCTGGTCTGGGTAAGTTCAAATTCCACTTGCATGTAGGGACATGTGCAGGATGGCCACCAGACCTACTTTCCAGTAATGCAATCCAACTGGACAATGAAAGGGACATCTGCTGAAGCAGCCTGGGACCATCAGTCTCGAGCAAGTCAATGCGATCCATGACTGCCAGTCTGCAGTGGAAACTCTAGAATTAGATTCAAGATTTTACCATCATCATATTAGTTGTGCTGACATGCTCATTCTCTTTCTCAGTCCCACTATTCTACTAAGTGTGCCACTATCTGCAACAGATATTAGAATGAGGTCGATTTCATTCAAGTTCTTTGACAGGTATATGTCATAGTTATTCACCAGCGAATCAAAACTGTGCACATATTATGACATTGACTGGATCTAATCAGTGGCAGCCTGCTCAGCATTTTCCCCTATCATGTACCCAGGTGAGGCCGCCAGGTTAGAGGGCTTGGTTGGACTTTTGGGATGCGGATTTGATGAGATGATTAGATCTTGGCAAGATGATTCAATATTCAACCTGGGTAAGACAATCAAATTGAGTGACAGGGGGCAGTGGACTCCCTTCAATACTTCTTGCCCCATTCTGCAATGGAAACCCTTGCAGATCAAACTCATCAGAATTCTTTGTCAAGATAGGTACGATAACTGCTCATGAGTATGGAACTCATATTTAGTCCAAAAGGAACTGGTATCAACAGTTCATGCTGAATTATTTATGATCTGGATTGATGGAACCAAAGCTTAGGATCAATTGGATCAGAAACAACCTTTATGTAACAGCCATTTGCAGAGCACTAGGCCAAATTTTTTTCACTACATACACAGCAGTATTTTAACTTCTACTCTCCGATCAGATATGTAGGGTATGCTAGTTATTGTCGTGAACTGGGCTCACAGGCGCAATAGGAAAAACAGCAAGAAACTCATGTCCGTCAAGAAGATCACCCAAGCACCATTGACCTTTTTTCTTGTACTGTTCCAACACCACTAAAGGCTCGGTATGATCAACATAGAACTTGGTGAACACAGATGATATAGCTCCATTGTCGCAGCTGTCTTGGAAGAGCGAACCCCTCAGTTGAGCGGCCTTTAGATAGCTAATGGGGGAAGATGCCAGAATGCCCTTTGCATGTTGATGGATGAAGTCCAATTCAATGTCCTTTATATTAGCAGCTTCATGATTTTAGTCATAATATCTGAATATAATGAGGGTGATAACTCACCAGCATATTTTGCCAATGCATTGCAAGCAGCGGGGTGAGACGAGATGAGACCAACTGATGTTAACATGAGAGAATAAGGCATGGCACTTCAGAGTTTGCAAGAGGTGGGTTGCGATGTAATGCTGACAGACTGCTTCATCGACGACAAGCTGCGTCACCCAGCCAACTTAATGAAATCAAAAGGTGAGCTTTGCAATAAATTGAGATAGCTACCTTTATTTTCACCATAGTCCCAGACTGCAGCAAATGCGTGTCCGTAAAGTTGAGGACGCTCACTCTCAAGTGGGTCGACTTGAATATAGCAAGTCACCAAAACACTACTCTCCAGTGTCCTCTTACTTAAGGGTCTTATGTATGCCGCTTATATAGTGACAACACAACTATATAGGATAAGACTTATTGCCAGTCCTTAAGTACATGGTCTACGACTTTTCTAGTTTTTGTGGTAAGATAATGTGTGAGTTCTTGGGAGGATTTATTTCAATATACCTTCTTTCCTTGTTCCTTGGTTAGTTTAAAACAATCTGATTCTGTATACTGAGTCTACGGTATGAATTGTGTCTGAGAGTTAGCATGCTCGTGTATTGTGTAGCATGAAATGTGTAGCGTGAATTGTGTCTCCCTTCCTGTAAAAGAGAGAGGAAAATAGTATGGGTTAAACTTAGTTAGAATAGCTGATAGATTATATAATCAACCCCTGTAAGGTAGTATATAATTGAATAAATGTTTCTTAGTCTTACTTTGAGGCTAATTATTTGCCTGTACTTAGGTTCTTACTTAATCTCACACTGTTTGAGATGAGTGAAGGTGGGAAGTGCTCCATTTATTACATGGCAAAATTGGGCTCCTTATATACCTTTTGGAGGCCCTGATTACAAAGCATGAATCATCACATGGATTGGTAAGAATGTGCTTACTAACAATGCCATTTGGTGTGTTGAGTCAGCCTGTTTACTAATTTACATTACAAATACAGTGTAGTTTACAAAGCATGACGAATCATGGCATGAGTCATCACATGGATTGGTAAGGATGTGCTTACAAACAATGCCATTTGGTGTGCTGAATCAGCCTTCTTACTAAGTAGCTTATAAATACAGTTAGAAATCTTACAAAGCATGACAAATCATGACAAAACATGATGAGTCAAGCTCAATCTTTACAAATCATGATATCTACCAGTCACATGACATGCTTACAAACATGCTTGGTGGCTGAAAAGACTAGTCTGTTGGCTGAATATGCCTGAGGAAAATAGAAAGAGATGGAATGCCATAGAACAAAATAGAAATACATGGAAAAATGGAAGTGAAGTTTGAAAGTGAAAATACTAGCTAATAACTAAGGGGAAAATGATGGGGTAACTTGGTGATAAGATACAGTAGGGTCTATTATACCTTCCTTATCACACCTCTTGTGTATCTGTCATGGTATGAGTTGCATACCATGCATGACACCGGGTGAGACAAACACTGGGATCGTAGTCGTGAACTGGTCATTTTGACCTGTTGTCCTGTGTAAATGATTCAGCCATGGCAAATGATCAACATCTCGACTACTGACCAGCTACAGTCAATTTGGAGATTGTAGCTGCCTGATTGCCCCAGATACCATAGTTGGAACTGAACAAATTGGCGCACAATTTCAGTGTATCATTGGAGACTTCACTGCCCAATGTCATCTTATAGGAGAAAGAGGCCTTGGATGGAGAAGTGGGACAGGGGAGGACAAGGCCTCTTGTTGGGGGAGTTACAGGTGTTGTCATCGACTGTGACATTATTGGAGAAGATGTGTGATTATGTAATTCATACCAACACATATATTATAAAGCATGGTCTGTGCGCTTGGAACCCGACAGCAAGATCAACTCATAAATTTGTCCTGATGGACAGTGTGCTGCAGGCGTATGGACATGTAAATATTATGGTGTAATACTGTGAAAAAACTATAAGAACTGCTTGATACACGAGCTTGAAGCCCATCCTCGTAAGCCCATCCTCACTTACTATGTCAAGTACCCCTCCAAGTTGGTCTGGCACAGGCAATATTCACAACCCGCATCAGTATCCTCATCAGTATCCACAGCTGCCAGCACATCATCAGCAACCTTTCATACAACATTATCTGCAAATGCTGCACATACCGCAGCACTATCTGCTACCTTTGCAGCATCAGTATTATCCCCCGCACTTCATTCACACTGGCCAGCCTCCATACCAGCAGTATCTTCCAATGCATCCGGTGAGGATGCAACCAGGAGTTCAGCTCCAGAGTACCCTCCAATGTGATCAGATCCAACCCCAGAACTGTCCCAGGCATCATCAAAAGCCCCAGCGTCGTCCCAGGTATCAGTGAGACTGCAACCAAATCCTGAACCGCGCCCTGGCGTTTTTAGTTTCGATATTGACATTATTACAGGTGACATGAAGCGTGGATTTTGTGGTGAGACTGACATTCCTTGGGATGACTTCAAAAGTCGCATTCTTGCATACCTCGATGCTCCTGAAGAAGTCCAGCTTGTGTATAAGTTCATAGGTGATAACAGTAAAGCTTCTCACCTAAACGATGCGGAAGCATTTGGTATCGCTATGGATCAACTTTGTCACAAAGCATCCAATGCGCGTACATGAGTCATTGCTTTAGAAGTAAAGAATGCAGCAGTAAGTGATTTTTTATGTCGCATCAATCAAAAATTACTTACAGTTACTCCAAGGCCAAACAGACTACCACCAAAGCGAAGAAGAGGACATGTGAAGACAATATTCCTCCAGCAATTGATGAGGATTCCATGCAGCTCAAAGCATACAAACAGCTTGAGTGCCACATTTGATGTGAGCTTCACCATGGCCATTGTTTCATAGATCACACGAGCGGCTATGATAACCATCATCATCTCGATCACGCCAAGATGACTCTCTGGGCTAAAAAGATCGTAAGTTTCATGTCTATCCTTGCAGAAAAAATAAAAAATATCCTTAGGCTCTTGGTCATGCAACGATTTACAACCCACCTCACTGCCTCAATTTTGACTGTGGCCCAGCCAACAAAAAGCCTTGTCACTCGAGGTTGGGATCATCACCTGAAGTTCCATGTCACCATATAAAATATAACGGCCAATCCTACCATAGCTTCCACATCAAAGACTCCTAGTCCTCCACCGCTTTCACAACAGTGCCACTTCGAGTCTGCAGCCCAGATCCCTAACACAACACTGCTGGACTTTCCAAAAAGTTGTTCTGCCGCTCCTTGGACTCCTCAATTCCTACGAGGAGCCAGAGATAGAGGAGCCAGAGGCACCTAGCTCAGGGACTCAGGACAATGGGAAGGAACGTGCTATCAAGACTGAATATGATATGTGGCAGGAAGGAGAATTGGAGTATGGAAGTGGCGAGTACGACGAGTACGAGAGCAATGATGAGACTGAGGGGGATGGAGAATTCCTGACCTAAGCTGTCAATCAGTGATGCAGACTAACCACTTAGTAAAATAACACCGCCGGCAGTTTCAACACGCCTGCAAGGTACTTGCACAAAATCAGTAAAAAGTGCACTCTCTACACAATGTATTCACTATGCTTGTACCAGCCACGAGCCTTTTCACTCATAACAACACCATATACAGCTTCCCATATCAATGCATATGGATCACAGGCTGGACCCTCGGTCTCCCCAAGTACATAGTCACGGTTTGACTGAAGCCATGCATTGATAGCTGAAAATGCCTCCTCAATAGGATTTAAATCAGGTGAATAAGAAGGCAAGTACAGGAGCCACATGCCACTACAAAAAAAAAGAGAGATCAGTATCGTTTGAGCAGGAAATAAGGATAACGCACTGCTCTTTGACCATCTCACGAATACCTTGGACTTTGTGGATACTTGTGTTGTCCATGATCAACACCGAGTTTAGCATGGTCCAGGGCTGCATTTGGTCCAATACACCAGCAACAAAATCCGCAAATTCTTCACCAGAGAACGAATGATCTAAAACCTCCAAGTGGAGGATACCATCAAGTGACAGAGCCAGAAGAATTGAATATCTAACAAAATGTCAAGGCGCTGACGAGAGAGTTTCTGAAAAAGTACCTTTTGCCACGTATGAAAAAATCCTGCCGTCGCATGCGCTTTCCAATAGGAGCCCAAGCAAAATCATGGTGTAAGGAAATCCTGTTGAAATGACACTCATCCGCAAATACAAGGTGTTCCGGCCGGAAATGTTCACCAACAAGCATCTTATAGGCAGCTCGATCATCTTTGTCGCGTTCGACAGAAGGGCATGTAACCTAGATAGTGCTGTATTGAATCATACATATCAGTAAGGACATAAGTGATGACATACCTTCTTCCGTGTGAACCCTCACCTACATATCATTCTTGAAATTGTTGTAATCGAAACTTCAACACCACAAGTCTCCCGCAGTTGATCTTGCATCTCGGTGAGGAGAATATCTGGTTGTCGCTTGATACACGCCTCAAGGAACTGAGAAATAACATATATGTAGTACTGAGAATAAGTAATAACTCACATTTGCATCAAGACTATTGAGGATGCGGGGTCGACCTGCACAAACCTGGTGTCCTCACAACTTCGCCAGTCTCCCAATATGCCTTCCGAAGATATCGCAATGACCGCTCACTAATCCCAGTGTAACGACGAATCATTGGGTCCTTAATATTTAGCAAGCTCATTTGTAGAGCAACTTGCTTTCGTTCCTTAGATATGTATTCGTCCCATCCGAGTTGTAGATCAAGATTGTCCATCGGAAGTTAAAAGTTTGTTGACCTGACTTATTGCTGAATGTATGTAGTGAAAATTTTTTGGCCTAGCGTTCTGCAAATGGCTGAAATGATACCTCATAATTTCCGCCAGAGAAGACCCCAATAGTACTATGACCACTATAGCCAAAAGGAGCAAGGTGATTTAGAATCTTGTTTGCTTAGCAGGGATAAATTATGCTAGAGGTCCCTCCAAGCTTAGGTCATCTGAACCTGATTCAAGTAGAGGACACTCTTCTCTGCTTGTTTTATTGAAATAAACTTTTGTATTTGCAAGAGCTATGATCAACTCAAAACAACATTTGAAAAACACAGAAAACAAAGTTAACATTGTTATAAGCTGTTTTAACAAGTTCTCATTTGACATTGTTGTTAACATGTATGCACTTTTGGATTTAATCTTGGATGCAGAGACCTCTAATTCTGAAGACATTGTGAGGAATGGCAGATTTTTCTGTCTGAATTGCTCAACATCATCCTAAGATAATTCAAGAAGTACCTAGTTTGTCATCTATCTTGTGCCCAAATGTTTTTTTCATCATACATTATCCTTGTTCTCTTTGTGCTCACAGTTAAGTTGGAAAATATATTGTACTCCCATTGAATTATCATTTTTGTCTTCTGGTTTTCCAGTCTTTATTTTTCCCTTGTAATATTGCTTTGAAGCAGTCAATAAAACTTTATTTGTCATCTCTTTGTTTGATCCTTTTGTTTCTTACACTCAGACAGAAAGCAATGTGAATGTTACCTGTATGCAACTGAGAAGAAATTTGTGCTTTTATTTGAAGAATACTCTCATTGTCTTCAATTTGTCCTAATCTTGTCTATTCATACTACAATGTGTAGACATTTTGCTTGGCATTAAATTGTGCTCAGCCTGCAAGCCCCTGAATAAACAAATTGATTTCACACTGTACTCCCTGATATAATTGTTAACATTTAACAGTTGACAGTTGACATTGACACTAATGTTGACATTAGTGTTGACAGTCAATTAATAGTAGTGCTAACAGTGGGCAAGAGGGCAAGAGTTTGTGGACTCAAAACACTTCAACAGCATATAGAAAACTAGATGCAAATACATTCTAAATATTGATTTTATGTTTCGACCAATGTGTAATCATATACATTTATATCAATGTCACTCAAGGAGGATCAACCAAGCATCAACACCAATGTTGCAACTATTTATATTGTTTGAAGTTCCTCCCTTGGGGAGGAGTAGAAAAATTACTGAATTCTCCTGCACAGAAATCTCAGTAGAATTGGCTTTGCTTCAGATGAGAGAGTATACAATGAGTTGGCAGCATGCTCACAGAGAAAATGGTTGTGGAGAAAGACCATACTTACAAGTAATAGCATGCAACATATGATTCAGTATTTTCTATTAGTCTGTTCTTTTCCTGAGTCATGTTATCTTTGCTACTTAAGTTTGATCTTAGTACTCTGCAAGTGCTTGCTGCTCTCACACTAGCCCTCACTCCCATGATGAAAAACTGCGATGTTAGTAGTATGTGCAACCTATATGAAGTTCTCAGCACTGTGAATGCTATAGTGGATTGTCCATATTGTTCATCATTCTTATATAACTTAGATTTCAATATAGTCTGTACAGGAACCAACTGAATCAGAGGCAAAGATTATGATGAATCTTGTGAGAGAGCCAAGCATGATGTCCACCAAGCTCAGAAGGTACTTGCAGATTATGTAGTGCGAGAAAATGAGGCATTTGCCAGCCTACTGAAGTTCCAAGCAGAAGTTGCTGAGAAGATGCTAGATAATATAGACCTTAGGCTGGGATGCATGAGGATTGTTTTCAACATGCATGGTTGATCTGTCCCTCCTAGTCATATCTCTCAGGAACAATGTGGTGAGTCTTGTTTATATGGTAAGTGTAACACACTCTGCACTAATATTGGTTTCTAATTTCTTTACAGGAATGACATTGGATGTTATGCATGACCAGTGTCCCATGATTCAGCTTGATTAATTGTTTTGTGAAGCTCTTGTTTGATATCTTCATTGTCTCATGTATTGTTGTCTTGTTATCATTACTATGCTATATGCAAATCTCATGTCAAAACCATACTGATATATACAATTTGTGTCATCAATCTATTTGATCAAGTCAGTAGTAGTATCCAGCGAGCCTCAAACTTCATATTGAATTCTGTTGCTGCTTTTTTACACTGGTACATACATACTTGGAGATATTATTAATTATTGATACACCAACCACTAGCAAACCTGTGCAAACTGTGAGGCTCTGTAACTTGTTGTTGCAAGACCCTAAGTTTGTAATGTCTGTGACAAAATTGGACTTTACTAATATTCTTTATTCATAAAACTTCAATAATGTCAAAAATCATAGATTGAGGCTGACCTTCATGCTCCAGATGGACTAATATCACCACAAATGCACAATGATTCAGGAAGATCCAGGCATCAGTTGCACAATTAAGCTTACCATCAAAGTTCTGGTGAGCATTTTAGTTTGTATCTTGTCCTATGCTAAGTTTAACTTACTTGTAACATGTTTGATGTCACATGAGACAGTTGAAGATCTGGATGCCCAGTGTTACAGTCAAGTTTTCCCTGGGCCCAGATTGACTACTCTTACTTACTTTCACTTACCCTCACAATCTTTAGCTTATGTTTGCAATTTTGCTGCTTATATAAGCATGTTTCCTCTTCACCAGTTGCAACCACCAGTCTTTACCTAGTTCCTAGTCCCAGTTCTAGGGTGCTCCCCACCTGCTTTGGTTTCTCAGTAGTATCAACCACTGTAGCTTGCTAGTTGTAGCTTCTTAGCTCACTTAATAGCTCCTGGTATATGGTTCCCTGTGTTTTGCTGTCTGTAGTGACTTCCACTTTTTATCTTCTGTTCTCTTCTTTCTTCTTGAGCACTAGTCAAGTCAGATGCCCATGGGCTGAACACACTGCTCTCCACTCAGCAGCTTTCCAGCTATTTTGTGATTCTCACACTGGTCTTCATTAGAACATTAAAACCATGATCATTGACAATTTTGAATGGTTGCAGGCTCTTGGACATCCAACACACAGCCTCTCCTCTGGTTATATTCTCAGTGCAAGTATGCTAACAGTGTGAATAGGTAACCTTTCCTTTCCTTTTCATGTGAAGGAAGTTTTGATTGATCCAGTTTCAGGTAGGCTCTTCATAGGCCCTTCACATGCAGCTTCAGTGTTTCCTAAAGCCATTGCTGATTGTAAGGCAGGTTCTTCCCAATAACTCTTGATATGCTTTCGCATATTGCTGGTTTATTTTGTGTCTTTTTATCAAGGTATCACTGGACTTTGTGTTTACAGCCATGCATAGTACATTTAAAGACATGGCATTGTGCTTGTCATGGTACTCAATTGCTGGTATTGGCTCGAAAAAGGCATAGATTGGCAATGTCCAATCATTCATAAGTCTCCCTGCATTCATCTATCATTAGATTTGTATGACATATTTTGTAAGTACATACCTAGTTTGGCATTTGATAATTCTAATAAATCCTCATCAGCAAATCCTCAAGTGCCTTTTTGTCCCTTAGAGTACTTAACAATATTAGTAAGGCAGCTAAGGAGAATAAGGTGCTATTTTTGTACTCGGTTCAATTTATTATAAGGACTGAAGTCATTACATGTAACTTAAGTAAGCCTAAGTAATTTAAGGCAGAATGTTAGTTGACATCAATCATTGAAATTTGCAAAGTCCAATATTTGTATATGTTTGTTCTCATGTGACAGTGCCCTCACATAAGGTCAAAATCTTTGCCATCTTGTCTGCTCTCACTTGCTTATATTGAGGCCTAGAGATAATGATTTTTTTAAATTCTAATCTTATTCTTTATATTTAAATAAAACAAATCTATTATTAGGTTTTTTTCAACATCAGGCACTCAGTACTCATCTGCAGTGGCAGTGCCACTCATTTTTGCTTACTGTCACAGTCATATCCTGCTCTTAGAGGGTGTATGATCTCAAGTTTCAACGTTCCTAGGTGATATTGATGGTGGCATGGCCATATCCCACTCTTAGAAAGTGTGTAATCTTGTGTTTTGATGTTCTTAGATGACATTGATGGTGCCACAGCAATGTCCCACTCTTAGAAAATACATGATCTTGTCTTTTGAGGTTCTTAGGAGACATTGACAGTACTTGGCTATGTTACATTCTCAGAAAGTGTGTTGTGAAAGAGAAATAGGTACTAGGTGGTTAGCAACTAGCACTACTTATCCAAGAAGGCACAAGTATAGTATTCAACCCAAGAGGACTGCTAATGAAGCAACTCCCTACTAATAAGCAAGGGGAGCAATAGTGCAAAGGGCCTAGAACCTATAGCGACCAAAACCAAGAACTAATGAGTAGCACTATAATGATCAGTGACTAAGAGAGTTCTGACATATAAACATGTGTATAAGGAGGAGAGATGCACTATGCAAGATGTGTTATGCGATAGTGCTATGTGAATGTGCAACTAGTGACAGCGAGAGAGTTCAAAGGACCGAAAGCAGAGGTAAGGTTAGATAGTGCCAGTGAAATGCCTGGTAGTGACTAGATGTAGCACAAACTACTGATACCAATTCCAGAGTTGCAAAAGTCAAACTATGAGAACCCTTAGTGACGTGCACTTAGAGCAGTTAAGTGACATGCGATCAGAGAGAATAGACAAGAGCAGAGTCGATTGCACAAGGACTAAGATATAGCAACTAAGGTGACTCTAACACACCAGCAAAGATCCAGGAAAGGGAAATGAAGTATTGTAGGTAGAATGAGCCATTTTATCATACTGTGTGAATGTTTGGGATATGTAGGCAAATGCAATAGTGATGCAGGCAAGAGCAGGATCATGATGTGTCTACAGGTAATAGGACAAGCAGCGCAGTGGAACATGAAGATACATGTAATAAGACCTGTGATCAGTGTCTTATTACTTAAGGATCTTATATATGACACGTATATAGTGACAACACAACTATACAGGATAAAACTTCTTACCAGTCCTTAAGTACACGGTGTGGGTACAACAACTCTGCTAAGGTGCAATGCAGAGCAAATGAAAGAAATATAGATGCTCTATGCTCTGGGTGGGAGATAGGGCTATACTCTCTCTAAGTGTTGGTCGAGGTGTGATGTGAATCATTCGACCTGGGGAAGCAGATGGCAGCAGAGAAATGATTCAAGATACGCTGAATGAGCGCCTAAGGGAGCGCCTAAGCGCGGGAAAGCGCCAGAGCGCGCTGTAGAGACTCGCATTTCTGTGGGCTCATATGGGCTCATTTTACGAATTCTGACAACTGGCCTTCATGGCACGACTCGCACTATCATCCACTATGACTTCCCTATAGAGCGCACCACTTTCCCACGAAACGCGCCATAGGCGCGATACTTTCCCGCACAACGCGCAGTATTCCCACATGCGCGCCTTGCGCGCTTTCTCACGCTTAAGTGCCCTGCATCGCCTATCATCCAGGAATGTCCCTCTATGTCCATCCACCTCATTGGTATGTCATATCACTTGCCTCGTGGTTTGTAACAAGCATTGCAGCACTATTACATGTCATTACGTATTCATAGCGCTTATTGCTCCTATCCCTTCCGCTTCCGATGCGATTTCCATAGTATAAAGTTTGCTGACTTACTACTCCATCATTATTACTCCCCTTTGCTGTACTTCCCTCGCTATTGGGTTTTACTTTAAAGTAGTAGTCACCACTTGGGCGCACTTTGTGTTTCCAATGGTTATTGTTATCCGCCTATACTAGACCTTTATCCGCACTCATTATAACACTTGCTCTGCATTTGCACTCGCTTTGCACATCCGCTTCCTTATCCGTTTCCTTATCCGGTATTTTCCGCACAATGCGCGCCTTAGCGCTCACGTTCCCACGCTGACACGCACGAAACCTGTTTCGTACATGGTCATGGCAAATTTATGATACATACAGTTCCTTACTATAGTCTATGCACTTCCCCTGAATTTTCTATACCTTACTTCAATTTACTTTGGACATTTCTGAGCATGTATCACCAAGATATGACTTAGCGGTTCAAATTAAATACTTAACGTACCCTTTATCCTTTCTATAATTCTTTATTTTTTTACCCCTATGACAAATATATGCCATGCCACTTCATTTGTATTTGTGTACTTAAAGCTGTGGTACCAAATGAGTTGACAATACAAATAAACAACTTTGGATTGGTAACCAAACAGATGAGTCACAATGAGTCACAATGAGTCATAATGAGTCATGTTTGTTATGACTCATACTGAGTCATCTTTCTTACTAACTCATTCTATGACATTCCATGACATTCTATAGCTCTTTCTCAATAATTCTGACACATTCTGGAATATTCTATAGTATATTAGTAATCAGTAGCACAGCCACTAGTCTAGTAGTATATAAGGGGTTCATTTTCCCCTCTTGTGAAGTAATCAATTTGATTCCCAAGTATTAACAGAGTGAAGCACAGTTAGGGGAACATAGGGGAACATTCTTTCACCCCTTGGATTCTTTGTCCCCATTATTTGAGTGAACATTCAAGTGAATATCAGGAGAAATATTAGCTTATTTAGCTCCATTGTTTTGACATTATACTTCACATTCTTCAGAAGTATCTGGCCACATTCTTGAGCCAACTTTGATTCTATCGCACATTCTTGAAGCACATTATACTTCACATTCTTCAGAAGTATTTGGCCACATTCTTGAGCCATCTTTGATTCTATCGACTTCAATCATTCTAGTTCTCTTTTGGATACAGGAAAAGTTCTGTGGGGAGAATTTCACGTATTATTCATCAATTAGGGTAGACACAAATAAGACCTACAATCTGTCAACGAATATTAAGAGCTTGGCCACTTAAGACTACATCAAGAAGGTGTACTCTATTCTGGACTGCTGTCATTACTCATTGTGAGATCCTGAGCAGCAGAGAGTTGGTTTCGAGGCCACGTATTGGGACGATCCCGCTAGTGAATTTGTTCTCCATTGCTGAAGTATAAGTAAGGAATATCCAAGAGGAATATAGTATAGTTCTAGTTCATTGCATACAGCTGCAACACATTATTCTAAAGGTTATAGCACTACCTTGTGCTACTTATTGGTTTCTATCGTTATTAGTTTCTATCATTTCTTTGCCCCTTTTACATCACTAGCGTTCGCTTGAAAAGTTCAACACACCTCGTCCCCCACAAACAACCACGTTATCAATCGTTGGTAATTGTCTAAACCGTTGACCGTGGAGGATTGTGAAATTTGGAGAGTTTTCTTGCCTTTCACATCCTAGTAAGACAACACTCGCGCTTACCTTAGTGCGCTCTCTCGCGCTTCGCGCTCACTTCGCTTTTCTTCTTGCGCTTTCGCGCATCCATCGCACTTCAAGGGTCTTTCTTTCATCTGGTTCTGTGTTCAGTAGCAGCCCCCTTTAGGGTCGAACGTTCTTGCATTCTGCGAGTATAGCAGCTAGGCAGAGCCAAGACTCACTTATACTGGTTGAGCATTTTTAGATATTTCATATCAGCCCAGCCAGGTTGAGATTGCCTCAGCGTGAAGCAGCTCTCAATGCAAGACAGAGTCTATATGAAGTGGGATAATGATTGTTGCTCTAAAGTGTGGCTTTATACTGGTGCTCAGTGGTAGTAGATGGGTGGTAGTAGATATCTAAGAAGTGGTGTAGTAATGCCTCTTCAGGCTCAACACAAAGTGAACCAGAGTGAGGTAAAGTGCTATGTAATAGCTACTGGGCCCATGAGAAATGATGCCATACAGTGTAGGTAATAATGAAAAGTACATGGATAGTAAAAATAGTGAACTACTATGTACCTGTGGGCTGGATGGACAGTGGATGGATGCTCCTGGATGATGGGCGATGCAGGGCGCTTAAGCACGAGAAAGTGCGCAAGGTGCACGCACGGGAACGCTGCAGCTGGTGTGGGAAAGTAGCATGCGCATTGCAGCTAGCGCGGGAAAGCGGGGCACTCTATAGGGAATGACCAGGGATGATGTTGTGTAGTGATGGGATGAGACTGGTAATGGCTTGGTGACACGAGCCGTGATATAGGCCATATGTGGCTGTAGGGGCACGAGCCTCTACAACGGTCTACAACTTTTCTAGTTTTTGTGGTAGATAATGTGCTGAGTTCTTGGGAGGAATGTCTTTCAATATTCTCCTTCTTGTTGCTCAGGTAGTTTAAAGCTCATGGTCTTGAAATGCTGAGTGTGAAGTTTGTATGTGTTTTGGCATGTGTGTGCCAATGGAATCGTGAAATGTGTCTCATGATTCGTGTTTCCCTTCCTGAAAAGGAGAGAGGAAAATAGTTCTGGTGGAACTTAGCTAGGTAGTTGTACATTGTTATATAGTCAACCCCTGTAAGGTAGTATATAACCTAAATAGATGTTTCTTGATCTCATTTCAAGGCTGCTGAATGGACTG